CTGAAGATTTAGTCTTTGAGGGCTTAGCTGGCTTCCATCCAAATGATATTCATCATTTGTATACCTGTTCTGAGGCTCCTGAAGCTACCTCTTGGGTTTTAGGATCTGCTCACGCTCTTGTAAAATTAGATGATGGTGATGTTGTTGGTGATCCAATGGAACAAGCCACTTTAAAGGCAGCTCACTGGACTGTTGGTGCTAAGGACTCAGTTGAGAGAACAAAAGAAAATGGCAAAATTGAAAAAATTAAAATTATGCGTCGTTTCCAATTCTCTTCAGCTTTGAAAAGATCTTCATCGATCTCATCTGTTAACACTTTACAAAACCAATTATTAGTTTCTGCTAAAGGTGCTCCTGAAACTATCCGTCATATGTTGATCGATGCACCAGAAAATTATGAAGAAATTTACAAGTCGTTTACAAGATCTGGTTCTCGTGTCTTAGCCTTAGGTTACAAATATTTGGATCAAAGTGTTAAGGTTCTTAAAGTGGATAGAAAAGATGTTGAATCAAAATTACATTTTGCTGGTTTTATCGTTTTCCATTGTCCTTTGAAAGATGATGCTGTTGAAACAATTAAAATGTTGAATGAATCATCTCACCGTTGTATTATGATTACTGGTGATAATCCATTGACAGCTTGTCATGTTGCAAAGGAAGTTCAAATCACTGAAAAGGATGTTTTAATTTTAGATGAACCTGAAGAGCATCATAATGTGAAGAGTGAAAACTTGGTTTGGAGAAATATTAATGAAACTGTTGTAATTCCATTCAACAGTGCCAATAAGATTGACAGTAAGCTTTTTGAGAAATATGATATCTGTGTCACTGGTTATGCTTTAGGTCACTTATCAGAACACGACCAGATTTTGGAATTATTGAAACATACTTGGGTCTATGCTAGAGTCTCGCCTGCACAAAAAGAATTTATTTTGACATCATACAAAGAAGCTGGATATAGCACCTTGATGTGTGGTGATGGTACTAATGATGTTGGCGCTTTGAAACAAGCCCATATTGGAGTTGCCTTATTGAATGGTACTGAAGCTGGTTTGAAAAAGATGGCCGAGAACAGAAGGGTTGAAGCAACTCAAAAGGTTTATGAGAAACAAGTTAAGTTGCTTGTTAGCTGGGGTAAACCTGCACCACCAGTTCCACCAATAATTGCCCATTTATACCCACCGGGTCCTCTGAATCCAAAATACTTGGAAGCTATGGAAAAGAAAGGTATTGAAATTACGGATGATATGAAAAAGGCTGTTGAGGCCGCTAATCAAACAGGTATAGTCGGTACACAATCGAAAGCAACAAATGATGGATTTGCAGAAACTGTTTTGGGTGCAATGAATGAAGCTGAAACCGGTGATGAAGTTCCAACTTTGAAATTAGGTGATGCATCAGTCGCTGCACCATTTACTTCAAAGTTAGCAAATGTTTCTACCGTAACTCATATAATCCGTCAAGGTCGTTGTGCATTGGTTTCTACTATTCAAATGTATAAGATTTTAGCATTGAATTGTTTAATTTCAGCCTATTCGTTATCAGTTTTGTATTTGGCTGGTATTAAGTTTGGTGATGGTCAAGCTACTGTTTCAGGTATTTTGCTTTCTGTTTGTTTCTTGTCAATTTCTCGTGGTAAGCCAATTGAAAAGCTTTCTAAAGAAAGACCTCAAAATGGTATTTTCAACATTTATATTATGGGATCGATCTTAGGTCAGTTTGCAGTTCATATTGTTACATTGATCTATATTACTAGGGAAATTTATATTTTAGAACCAAGAGAACCTCAAGTTGATTTGGAGAAGGAATTTTCACCATCCTTATTGAATACTGGTATGTTTTTGTTGCAATTAGCACAACAAGTTTCTACATTTGCAGTGAATTACCAAGGGTTACCATTTAGAGAAAGTATCAAGGATAATAAGGGTATGTATTACGGTTTATTAGGTGTTGCTGCTTTAGCTATTGCCGGTTCAACCGAATTCTTCCCTGAATTAAACGAGGCAATGAAATTTGTTAAAATGGATTCATTATTCAAAGTTAAATTAACAACATGTATTTTGTTGGACTTAGGAGTCACTTGGTTTATTGAATTAACCTTGAAGCATTTTTTCATGAATCACCATGCTGCTGATATTGCGGTAAGAGATTAGTTGTATCTAATGTATAGATTTTTGATATTTAAATTACAATGCCATATAGGCATGTAATCAATAAATTGTTCTTTTATTTTAATACTTTCAAATCGCTATCTCTATTTAATTCTATAACTTTGATTGCTGTGACGCCCCCCCTCGATAGTATTTGTATTTTATCTGATCCTAATTTCTTCTCTAATAAATATACTGCATCTTTAATTTCGCCTTTACTAGTGGGGTAATCAAGACTATCCTCTATCATACTAATAAGTTTTGAAAGAGGGTAACTTTTGTTTTGTTGTTTGTCCTGGCTTCGATGGATATGAAAAAGAATATCATAAATTGGTACCAATTTGCTCTGAATATATGTATGGTATTTCATTTCAGGCGTATCTTTTATCTTTTCTTCGTTTTTCAATTTTTCTTTCAACCTTATCCTTTCAAGCAATGAAAGTCCATTATTCTTCTCCTTTTCAGCATTTTCATCTTTTGACCTGAAAACAAATTTGGATGAATCATTTTTCATGCCATTTATTAAATCTGATCTCGAAATCTTTGTTGGGGACGAGGTATTTGATCGTGGTTTATGTATCTTAGATGGCGATGAGTTATTTTGTTTCCTAACGATTTGTCCTATAGATGGATACGCAATTTCGGAAGCATTTCTATTCTTTGTTACCCATATATTTATATTCTTCAAAAACTGTTCCTTTCTTAAAGGTATGCATTGATTGAATGTATTCACTGGTATACTTTCAGGCAAAGAGAGTAAATATTCGCTGTAATCATCGACTTTATTATTATATCTGATAGCATATGCATTTGGATATATTTGAAGAATGCATAATAAATCCTTAGTTGTAATTCTTCTTCCTATTAATCGGGCTGCTGAATCGAGTATTTTGTTTAAGCTTGGATCGATTGTATGATTTGAATAATGCAAATTTAGATTAGTTTCTATAGCTGTAAAGAACTTGATTAGATCCTGAAAGACTTCGTCTTTTATTACTTGATGTTGTATTTCCATGAACCCCTATTGTTGTTCAAAATCTTTATCTCTAACGTTAACTCTATTGATGAGCATCGACCTAAATCAAACGCGTTCGAAGATAAAAAAAAATTGGACGAGACAGGAATCGAACCAGTGACCTTCTGCTTGCAAGGCAGACGCGCTACCAACTACGCCACACGCCCCAACTTATATTTTGTACTTTTCTATTATTCAAGCTATTTACATTATAGTAACTCTCACTATTATTGGGCAGAAGACATATTAATATTGATAGTGATATTTATAATATATACGATTTAATCTATTGGCCACCACTCTGGTTTAAACACTTTTATCCCAACATGCTTTACACCTCCTTCAAGGCATGGCAATTCAATTTTATACAAGTCAATATTTTCAATATCTGATAAGTTAGCTAAGACAAATCCCAAATTGTCTTGTATAGAAAGCAATTTACCACTTGATGCTGCCCTCCTACGTACTGGCTTCGAACTGGCAAAGGGAGAAGATGATTGCTGTTCAGTTTCTGGAGTAGTTGGAGCTTTCTTTTCAATTAATGGAGTTATTTCTAGTTTTGATAAAGTGGACGAATGTAACTCTTGTAATTGCTTAATAACAGGATCAGCCGGATCTAAAGTCAAAAACCCACTTTCGTCAATTGCTGATAAATTATCATCGTTTATGTCAAAGAATTGGATTGGTACGACTCTCTTACGGATAATACCATTATTATAAGTTCTAATAGTAAGTTCCTGGCCCACATAACATCCTTTTTCTAATGACAATCCATTAATAAAGTCAAGGTTCATTTCAAAAGGTAACAATGAGCTTCCCTTTGGGCTATCTTGTGTTTCGAATAAACCGTTCAAGAAACGTCTCCTTGTCACGCTTTCGGGTTTGAGTATTTCTGGTACAACAAAATTGTCTTTAAAAGATGATGAAAATAGGTCATCAACAGGGATCTTGTTCTCACCATCACCTATTTCCTTATCCATTAACACTTTAATCCCAAAGTTCGGAATTCTATTATCTATGGAAAATCCTAGTATGTTGCCTGCTAACTTTGGATTGAACAAAACTTCACTTTTGATGAATGAATTAGCATCGTTTAATGCATCTACGGGATCCATTGACCGGAAAAATTCTTGCTGAATGAAATCCAAATATTCGTCATATTCTGCTGTGTCGTTGTAGTAATAATATGAATGCATGGATTTAATTTTTTCAATGCTAACTTTTGCACTGAGTTTATGCAACTTTAACAACATCTGTAATTGAGACGTGAATGACGAATCAATCTCAATCAAATAATTTGGTTCACTTATCTGACCATCAAAGGCCCCATTTAAGTTGTGAAATGGTTGTGAGTAGAGGAAACAATCTGTAACAACTCTTCCCTTCGACGACAAAAACATAGAATTCAATCCGTCTCTTCTTACAAATATGTTATTATCGGGATCATATATATCTTCATGCATCAACCCCCAATTATCGTTGATATTTATAATTTCTGACAATTTAGCATGTCTATTTTCAGCTTCATCTATGGTGTGTTGCTTCTTTTTAACTATGTTTGGAAGAAATCTCGATGTAGACAAACCATTCAAAAACTTTGTTGCATCCGGACCTTTAATCTGCAATAAGCTCCTATTCAAAGCAGTTATACCTGATACCGGAATCTTCATAATGCCTTTCTAATCTAAGGAAGAGTCGGGCAGAATACATTTTGCTTATAAATATATTTAGAAGATCAGATGAATGATATTGAGCTACACACGCAAAGTTTGCAACCAATACGTAACCATATAAATAAAATATGATTGGAAGTATATATAAAAGATATGAAATAACTAATGAACGTCTGAAATATTCAATTCTCTACCTATTAGTTTCTTTGGCTTACTCGAATTTTCATTTGAACCTTCTGAGAATGCATCCTCCAGGCTTCCTGCAATGGAAGCCGTCGACGAATGATCTTCTTGTAACAGCAACCTGTCTCTAATCTCAGCAGATAAATTAAACTTTTGCTTGATATCGCTTGGACCATTATTAGTCATTGCTGTTTTATGTAGATTTGTCGAAGAATGTTGTCTCGAGTTCAAGCTCGATAGGCTAGGTGGAGTACTGTTTAAGAACGATTCTTCCCTTGATAATTCATCCGATCTCACATCCAAGTCACCAAAATTGAAGTACCCATATCCCCCTAAAATATCGTAGTCTTCCTTATAATCATCCGATAAAGAGCTAGATCTGCTAGAGCGGGATCTCTCACTATCCCCAGTATCTTCAATGCTAACATTTTCTATTGGAATAGGTGTTTTTTCAACAGTCAATTCGATAGGATGCTTTGTCAGAGGAAGGGATTTATTGATATTCTTAAGTTCATGCTCAATTCTAAGTTTTTGTAACTCCTGTTTTCTAGATTCTGAATCAGTTATATTGATCAAGAAATTCGATTTTTGCTTAATAATCGATAAAAATTCCTTCATCACTCCTTTAAAAGTACGCAAGAACCTCTCCGTTTGTCTGAACTTTGAACTAACAGTAATGATGATTTTATCGCCATGGATAACATAACCAATCCCAAAACCTTGGTCGGCTGCAGGTGGAATACCAAACATGTGTAATGCTGGATTACCACAATTAGAAATTAATAATTCAGGAGACGAGAGCTTTTCAATGGTTGGATTTGATAGAAATGGAATATGAAGGTTTTTTATTTTCTGTATATCTGGAATCGGTTCCAAATCGGGCACATCAGCATTCATTTTATTCAAAGTCTCGACCGCATGAGGTCTCCCTAAAACAGAGATGATTGCATTAAAATGTCTCTCAAAACCCTTACCATTCATTGCATTACGGTATTGCTTAGTGTGAATGCTACAACATTCTCTGAACAAGTCCCACTTCAATGAAGAATTTGAGTTTGTAATAAATAATTTAACCAACCTAGAAATAAGATCGTTTTGAACTGGAATTAATTCAGTCCTGGAATCTCTGAACTTTCTAGTGGTAATAGGCTCTAACGTATTTGCCATACTTCCATATAAAGTATAATTTGCAATCTGAAATGCAACTTGCAAAACTGAGTCCATACTGAGTTCGAATTTATTGACCAAATAGGTGTTCAATTTAAGGGTCAACGTCTTGTATTCATGTTGATGTATTAAGTCGGCTAATCTTGTTTCTGATAGCCTTATTAAATTCAAAAGTTCTGGTGTTCTGGTAATCATTAATCTTTCAGATTCTGGCTTATTATTCGACCCATCTGCTGATACAAACCCAACATTATCATCAAACAATGTATACTCAGCTCCATTGATGTTTTTGGCTAATTTCAAAATAGAATCAGCATAGATGTCACTAATGAATCTTAAAATCGCTGTCCCATCTGTTGATGATGATTCCCAAACTACACCAGCAACTGAGTTCTTAGTAACGATTAACTGTAACTTGTCATACCACCTGGACGTACATGAACCGACTTGCATATTGGTTCCTTTCAACAACTCAGAAGTACCGTGTGCTATCACCGATGTCTTTTCTTGATCGGAAACTGGCAAATTAGGATCCAATACAACTATGAATAAAGCGTTATCAATCAATTCTAAGTTTCTCTTGTTAGACTTATTCAATTCACTTCTGCTTATCTTCCAAATCGAAAATGATTGCGTAGTCAAAGATCCAATAGAATTGTTTATAGACTCAACTCTGTCAATACTATTGGAATTGTTAATTATCTCTTGTAATATTACTGACAATTCATAATCACTGAACCAGATTTTATGCTTGGTCTTTGATTCCTTGTATTCCTCCTCGCTATACTCTGTCAACACTTCCAAGCAATAATATTGGTTATTACAAATGATAACAATATGTCTTGAATCATTGATATCATTAAACTTTTGTATAGTTGCACTCTGGTACGAATTTTCGTCTTCTGTGAGGGGCACTCTTGTTGTACCAAATAATATATTGTAACAATTCATCGACAAGGGATTACCATTTTTAGGTGTCTTATCTGGTTGTAATGTATCATTACGAAGACTTATTACAAACTTCAAAGATGAATTGATCAAATTGGCTGCTCTTTGACTTTGGTTAGGTGGATTAACAGTCTTCGCATACGGATCTTCTTCTAAAATTAAGTACGGGTTGCGAGGAAGAATATCTCCTCTTATTTCGCCATAAATACCCGGACTGGTTCCATTATTCACACAATTCAAGTAGCATGTATTATTAGGATTTAAAGAAGCTGCTACCAAATGACGTTGAATCAAATTAATAACTTCATGACCGAGAAACTCACTCGATTCTTGGAGCAATTCGTTATATTCATCTATGCTCAATAATGGTTTCAATGCATTCAATAATTGGGTTGTTGTATTCGTCAACAGAGGAACTGGTAACCGAGGAAGATCCTCTTCATATTCATATGTGTATGTCATCTTGCTTGCTGAGGAATAATTAATTATTAACTGGAGAAATCATTAATTTATATACGAGCGAATCTATCTCCGAGTAACCCCACAATTTTGTTCCACGCATCGTCACAAGTTCCTTGCTAAATGCTTGGAAGATCAACCCAACAAGTCTAACCAATTACTATATGACATATTATTCCATTGTCGTATTCACTTCCGTGGTCCGTCTTACATAGTCATATATGTGAACAATATAAGCCATTTAAGAGTAGTCTATGCGTATGTATGCAAATTGTAGAAGTGTTTAGAGACATCCGAACTTTAGGCTACACAATTTTTTCAAAGTTATTATGGAAAGGTATCATAGGTTGGATAGTTCTCAGTAGATGTTATAGATGAGTTCTAGAATTATTCAACTGTTTGGTAATGTATACGATTTCTATGTGAATTTTATTTGTATGCTTTCTAGACCAGCTGGAGTTAGGATTGGTTAGGAATAACTCATTATTCGCGAGAGAAAGATGGATATTCGGCTCTGTGTTACCGTCACTACAGGAGACTCTGATTTGACTAACAAAATACAGCAAAACTTGGGACCCGTCGCGGATAGTCGTTTAGCAGTGGTAAAATGCGCCGTTTAAATATAAAGAGTCGGTCTCATCAGGTCTAGCGCACTACAGTAGACACTGACGTTGGAAGTTCTGTAAAAAAAAATGCAATACATTCAATAAAAACGCCTCTATAATATGCAAAAGAAAACCAAACCCATACCCTAAAACAAAAAGACCATATGATCAAGAAGTGAAATGCACCCTAATAAACCCATGCAAAGTTATTTGGGCTGGATAAACCTCTTAATAAAGGTTGCATTATCCATGAAAGTGTCATCTTGGTGTTGCTCTTGGATGGAATGGTCTGGATTATTTTCCGATTCATTGGCTTCGTCCATTAGAGGCTTAATGCAAAGCCAACCTGTTTCAGTCCTAAAATGTCTTGATAATGCATCCGAACGTGCAAATTTCTTCCCACAACCCCATTTGGTGGTTCCATCTTTGAGAAAACCTTCACACTTGAAATTCTTTTCGCCAACATGCAATGATTCATGACGCTTCTTATCGTGCGATCGGGCAAACGTCTTATCGCATACCGAGCATTTGAAAGGTTTCTCGTCGGAGTGAGTTTTCATATGTGATTTTAAATTGTATGGCTTCTGGAATACCTTGGAACATTGACTACATGGGAACGATTGAGTTGTGTCAACAATCTTCTGTTTCGACTTTCTTCTTCTTTTCAATGATGGCGAAATGGTGTAGCTGACTAATGATGAGTAGTCAATAGGTAAAGGCTGTTTGTCCTCCAATTTCGAAGCCAGTCTTGGTGGTGAATTCATTGGAATCATGTCACTATTATTATTCGAAAGCGGACTTACAGGATATCCCTTCATTTGTGGTGACTGCGATGTATTGAGTGTTGGAGCTTGTCCATATTGGTATGGATGAAGCATATTTTGCGACGATACCACTGATGGTTGGTAGTACATGGGCGATACCATTCGTTGCATCGGTTGCATCGGTTGCATCTGATGTGAATTAACCGGATTGTGAGTCTGTATCTGGGGCTGGGAATACTGTTGCAGTACAGATTGTTGTTGCATTTGCTGTCCCATCACTTGTTGGTTCGAATAATAGTAATCACCGCTATTTGCCACCACCGATGGTTGGTTCTGGTATGGAACGTATATCGAGGGAAGCTTGCTTTGCTCGTAATACTGGCCCACATTTGAAGGTGTCTGGGGATAATTCGTGCTCGATGGATACATTTCGGGATAATAATTCATCATAACCCGACTGTTCATTAATGTGTATTTCGATTCGATGATATATTCGTTCAGTTTTCTAGTTCATATGCCTTAATGCTAATTACTCAAGCTAATAAATCAGGATATTAAAAATTATATATGTCAAAAATTTTAAATTTCGACATCTCGAATTGTCACAGCCACTGCTGCATAAATAAGTTTACTATGAGAAACGCATTGTCTAGATAACAATCAAATGAACCAACCATATACGAAGAGGAGTAATGCATCTCTAGTAATATTATTCTAAAATGACATGACGTACCTTTCTATAGCCGGCAATCCATAAATGGTCTTTTATGAGTGTCTTGTATACATAATTCATATAAAATATTCCTGATACATAAACTGTCGTACTTGTATATTTTTGCTAGGGTAAAACCGATATTTTTACTTTCTATAATATTGGCGTATATGCCATATACCTCTCCCTTTTCCCAGGCTCGACTAGTTGTTTACTGAAACAATTGGTTGAATTAGGCTAAAAATGTTTGACTGCGGTGTTTGGAAAAAGGCGCAGAACAAAAGCCTATTGCGGATTTATTTTGACAGGTTTAATATGATTTGGAATGCCGAGAGTATTGGTTTTCAGAATCTTTACACGAATTACCAACACGAATGAACGTCTTCTTCATGTATGGTACAATAGGTATCACTGCCCTTGTTATGTTGCGTAGGCATCTGCTTATGTAAAACAACCCAAACAATTTTCAAATACCGAGTGACTTAATTATACGGAAGGGCGCAGCACCGGTAGTGATCCGATAGCACTGCATAAAAATGATGATATGGGAAACCGATCCCTTACAATTGTGAAGTATCGGAATTACGAAGGAGTGAATCGAGTAAAACAATATAAAAGCGAATAACAATACGTCGCATGGCTCAGCCAGTTAGGACGTTTATCCAGAATTTACCGGCTGCAGTAAAAACCATAAAAAATTTTAAGCCTGGGCAGATATCCAGTATGCCTAATCAATGTCTGGAGAAGAATGAATTATGAGGCTACCAGATGATTAAGCCGTACTTGGCATGTGTTAAGTACGCAAATGAGTACAAGGAACTGGTTCGATCGTTGTAAAAGGGCTGTAATTCTGGCTGTTCCGGTAACAGGAGAAATATGATGATGTGGATCGTGAGAGCCCAATCTCAGATCGGACCGCCCCGACGACATGCGTCCTCCGAGAATGCTAACCGCGATGCTTAGCAAGGGTAAATAGTAATAGTTCGGAGAAACAACAAGATATGCCGGTCTAGTATAGTGGTCAGTACACATCGTTGTGGCCGATGAAACCCAAGTTCGATTCCTGGGACCGGCATTTATTTTTTACATTTTTATGCCCTGAACAAGGACTGAGATTTCTTAATCATTCGTATATTCGATAAGTATGTGCGTATACTGGGCCTACAGCTAATTATTAGTATTTTGGACAAGAATTGGATGAATAGCGATGCTTAGTATTCCTCGACATTGTTTTCCGTGTCTGTGACCTTACATAGGTCAATTTGGATGATAAAAAGAGCAGTATTGCCATCTTTGATGTAGTTTTCGGCCTGAACCTCGTCAATTGAGCTGTTATTCAAGTGTAAGGACTTGAAGAAGTTGTATTTTTCGGAGTCTACCTCTACTTCTTCAGCCTTACCATTAATCATCACTGAAACCCTGCTGATTTCCGTTTTGTTCAAGTTTGTCAAGAATTCATACAACGAATTTCTTCTTTTGCCTGTAGGTTCATTAGTGTCTTCGGAGGTGGTTTTTGCGGCCATCCAATCATGTAACAATAACGATACATTGGGGTTTGCCACCATATTTTCGTACTTTGTTGTTCCTTTGGGAGTGGTCATAATAATGTAGTCCTCATTGCCGTGATAGTATGTATAATTCATTAACGATACATGCGGAATATTATCCAAACAAGTTGCTAAGTGAACATATCTTGTCGAGTTTAACAACTTGGTGACGGATTCCGGTAATTTTGTAGACATATCTCAGTTTGTTGCTAAATAAAGATTGAACTATAATTTGTGATATCCCCAGTCCCTTAAAAAGATTTATGGTGCGACCGATCAAAAGTGACAGTGATACCATTTATTGATTCGGGTTTCAGCTATTGCTATGACGTCAAATAACAATATTGAGTTGGATTTCGAAGGTGAATTTGCTCCTATTAAACCATTATCTCTGGAGGAACTACAAAATGACCGTTTAATTAAACGCATTAAGCTTCAAAAAAAGCTTGAAAAGCTCGAAGACCACGATTTAAGCTCAGACTACAAAACCAATCTCATCAGCGAATACGAAGATACGATAGCAATTGATAATCCAGTGAAGACGTATGAAAAAAGAAGAAGTATTGATGGGATAAGTGATAGTCAAGCCAATAAATCGACACGTATAAATATAGACTGGATTAATGCCCAAAAGGCTAGGATACATAACCGGCATGTAAACAAGGAGCATAAAAACAAGTCGGTCGATGAACCGAATACGCTTCAACAAAGTAAAAGTCGAGATTTGATGGATGATAGTAGTATTGTGTCCAAAGGCGCTCAGGAAGATCTGGCAAAACAGAAAAATGAAAAACGCTTACGAGCTGAAAAATTAAAAAATTTCAAATTAACTGATTCAGGATTTGATTCATTGATAAGACGAAGCAGACTTAAAGAGCAGCGGTTGATGAAAGGTGAGAATGAAATATCACACCAAGAAATAAATACAGAACCTGAAGGCTTCGACGTACCTCAAGAGTATAAGGAATTTAGGGCCAACGAAAATGATGTGGAATTACTTAGGAAACAGGTACTATCACAACTTGTAAATAAAACAACGAATTTTCCTAACTTACTTGAATCCCCAAACTTAATCAGCAAGTATAAAGAGGTTTATAAAATGTTTGAACACACTGTTAGAGATAACGAAGGGCATTCACTGTTGATAATTGGGCCAAGATCTTCAGGAAAGACTGCAATAATTCAACACGCGTTAGATGATTTGTCGTCTAAGTATCCAGGCCAATTCATTACGGTCAGGCTAAATGCATATTTACATGGTGATGATATCGTTGCATTAAGAGAAGTGGCCCGGCAGTTAGATTATAATGCGAAGCAGTTACGTACTAGTGATGATGTGAGCTTTGGCAATTTTGAACAGAGATCTATAAGTGATACTTTTACTAACATTTTGTCAATATTAGACAAAAATAATAATAATAATAATAATAATAATAATAATAATAATGCTAACGCCACCAATAATGAACAAGAAGCGGTTTCTATCATTTTCATTATCGAAGAATTTGAAAATTTTACAAGTGGGAATAAACAGACCCTCTTATATAATTTGTTTGATTTATCACAAAGTTCTTCTACTCCAATATGTGTGGTAGGAGTTTCTACCAAAATAACTGCTAGAGAATTGCTCGAAAAGAGAGTGAGAAGTAGGTTCAGCCAGAGAATTATTTCCATAAATAAATCTAACACTATGGAAGAATTTTGGGCTAATGCAAAGCTTGGGTTGGTATTGAGTAATAAGTTTATTGAATCATTAGAAAATCAGAATTATGGTTTTTTGTGGAACCAATACGTGGAATCTATGTATTCAAGTAAGTCATCATACTTAAGGAAACTAATTTTCCAGAACTATTTTACTATCAAAAATTTCAAGGACTTCAACAACAATTGCATACTTCCAGTATCCAAATTATCCACTCTGCAACCATTTCCCGTAGATGGAGACTTTAAGCAGTACTCGATAAACCAATCGATCAATAATATCCAATCAATTGTTAAGTCCTTATCAGTTTTAGAGTTGTTATTAATTATTGCTGCTACAAGATGGATTGAAAAGTTTGACTTGCAGGTCGTAAATTTTAATTTAGCTTACAAAGAGTACGAAGATATGATAAAGAATTTCAATATAAATTCAGCTACAGTGAATTCATCGTCCCTAATCGACAATAATATTTTATCCAACATTACTATTAATCAAAAGATTTGGTCACCAAAGATATTGAAGAACTGCTGGGAATCTTTATACAAGTTAGGCCTATTATTGGACTATGGAGCTGCTACAACAAATGCTGATGGTCAAGTAGTATCGATTACAACTTCAAATAGGAATATTATAATAGAGGATAACAAAATGGTTCAGTTAGATATTACGTTGGATGAATTACATCATCTCATTGATGAACTGAATGTTTATAGGTCCTTAACTAAATTGTAACCTGGTAAGCGATAATCCGCATGTTTCATAGCTAGATAATATTATTATTAACTAAACTTATTTGCCCTTTTATTGTTAGATGTTTCAGATTTATTTTAATTTCTTATTAAATTGACGCACTAATAAAAAATGGAAAAACGCAACACATTTGCGGTCCATAATAATTTAAATTCAATACATATTCTACATTTCATGACACGTATATATCCAAAATGGGCGTGTTTCATTCGTGTGATAATTACAGAAAGGTTAATTAATTTCTTATTTTTAATTTATGGTAAAACAAGTGTAATTATGAAGTTTAATGTTTGCTATATATAAACAGTTATTACCAGATGATTTTTGGAATAAAAGTTAGCATTTTTTGTTATACTTAGTAAATGTATAAAGAATTATTATTGAAACAAAATGAAAATTAAGAATATTCTTAACATCAATAATTCCGGGGATGCTTCGAAGACATTACATGAAACAGTGTTGAAGCATTTCAATAAAACTCCGTCAGGTAAAATCTATGAGAATGAGTTGAAGGATATTTACGGTATGATGCTCATTTGCTTAGAATTAAAAGAAACCCAGGGGAATAGGATAAGGTTAAACCCATTAGCTAAGACGTATCCGTATTCATTTCATATTGAGGAAGCTTTAGAAAAAATGAAACACTTGGAAGTAAAAATTGAGTTATCCAAGACAACGACTACAATATCGTATAGCATTAAGCCTGAGTTAGGATCCGCGTTATTAACAAAATTCTTCAATGCTAAATTGTTACATTCGCCCGCTGATAGGACAAGATCAACGCCAAAGAATGCTGTACTCTTGCAACCCACTCCAAAAGGTGTAGCGATACTTCAGGACTTTTATAAGAAGATAGGTGGTAAGAGAGAGGGTATTCCTCCAATATTATTATCCAATTTAAACTCGATGGACTTGTTTAAGTTTGATAGAGATCCTATATCCGATAAAATATTGTACTCAGACTATTTTCTTCAGTTGATATTTGTGAAGTTAATGAGCAATTCCCCGAACATTTGGTCTCCTGACAAAAAGGCTGACACTTTACCTTCGATTGATTCGAAACTAGACTTCAACGAATGCTTTAGTGATGGCTTTGACTTTAGTATGTTAGGGATTGACAAGGCGACAGTGAACTTGCAGAATCTTTATCCTGGTTGCGAGGGAGTCAATTTCTGGGATAGCCAAAGCAATGGAAGCAATGTTACCGGTGATGAAAAGGACAAAAAAAATTATCTTGTTAGTCCAATACACCATAAGTACTTTACTAATCCTGAATCAGATTCCCATGTACAATACTACGTATCTAACACAGGCGTAAGGTTTCATCAAGATAAGGTATTCAGATCCTCTACTGGGGAAGATATGATTATCAAGTTATGTGTTTCCGGTAAAGCAATATGCCAATGGCTTTGTGATTGTACTGATGTTATAAGTATTCATCATGCCACTGAGATTGCTGATCTATTATTAAAGGTAAAATTACTAGTACCGATAACTTTGTCTCCATCTAATGCTAATAATAAACGGTTTCAACCTGACAGATCCTCGTTTTACATCTTGAGTAAACAGGGATTGAATATTGTGCATTGGATGGATATAAATGAGAATGAATTGGTTAATAATATTGAAGAAACCTCGGCAGATAGACTTACTTATAAAGAATTGTCAAGTCAAAGTATAGAATCATTTATTGATAACTGTATGTCTAGTGATCTTAAGCCGCAAAGCAATTTGAGGGTACCTATAACAACATTACAGGAAAACTTGAAAGATCCTGGAATGAGGTATTTATTTAAGAAGCATTTAGAAAAAGAGTTCTGCTCGGAGAACCTTGAAGCATATTTGCAATTAAAGCAATTCCATAAAAAGATAACCATACTAAGCGAGCTCTTAATCTTCAAAAAAAACTGTATGAAGCACACTACTAAATCTATTGATTGTCAAATTGTTCAATTGGCCAATACCTGCTTAGGTATGGCATATCACATTTATTTTACTTACTTAAGTTCGGACTCTCCTTTCTTGTTAAACATTAATTATAACTTGAAGGAACAAATAACAACAATTATGTTGAATAAGTCTATGGTTTCAAGTGCAGCTACTCAAGACTATACGAAAACTCCGATACAAGAGAGCCTTGGAAACGATTGTTCTACACCTCAAAGTATTTCAGGCGACATTGGATTAGAGATTACTTCCACGTCACCTGTTTCATCCATAAAGCTGGATGCAAGTAGCAGAGAAACTAGAATTGTAGGGGATTCTAATATCAAAAGGCAAGATATTGTGTATGAGGAGTTTGATTTCCAGTTTAAATCGCCTATGGAACAAAATATCAGAAATACTTTGAATATTTTGGTTCAAGTGTCAGCAATCTTTGATGCAACAGCAAATCACATTTACAGGTTAATGGAAGTGGATTCATTTCCTAAATTCTTGGATAGTGATACCTATCAGCATGCAACTTCTTACATAGAACTTAGAAAATAATTACATAGCATAATCATTATTAGATTTAGTTTTAGTTTTTAACGAAATTCAACTATATTAACTCATACAGCATTGACTATTTAAAAGAGTACGGAAAAAGTATAGAAACGAATAAGGGATATATATAGCTATAAATACAATACAAAGGTCAATCATAAACAGATTTATGCAATAGGTTCCAAAGTGGTACCTTTCTTAATAGTAGCCCAACCAATTAAACGCCAATGCTTTTCAATACGTCTAGATAAAGCAATCTTTTCATCAACTTCAGTACAAGCTGGAGAGGTTAATTGTAAACGAGCCATATCAGCTCTGACAGCGATGACTCTAGCACCAGTTGCTGTAGAACCAATATTAACCATCAAAACTTCACCAACTTCTAGCTTACGAACCTTCGCCCCTTGTTTTTGACCGTCAGTTTTAACACCTAATAATCTTCTCAATAAGAAGTAATTGATTTCAATATCAGTGTAAATGGATGGTAAGTTACCTTTAGCACCAACAACTTGACCGACCAATCTGTCAGCTCTACATAAAGTAGGATCAACCTTAGTACCAACACCAATTAAACCACCAGGAACAGCGAATTTCAAATCGTTATGTTCAGCAAATAACGATACGATATTGGAGAAAATCGGCTTACATTGAATTTTACCGTTATCGTCCTTAGTAACGATACCGGGTCTGATTTCGATTTCATCACCAATCTTAAAGACACCGTTCAAGATAGAACCACCAGCAACACCACCCTTCAAGTCATCAATTTCAGCACCTGGTTTATTAACATCGAAGGATCTAATTACGATCAATCTTGGAGTAGCCATGAAGTCTCTTGGTGGAATTGGAATAGAATTAACAATAAATTGATTAACAGCATCAATATTATATTTTAATTGGGCAGAAATTGGAACAATTGGAGCACCATCCGCAATAGTACCTCTGATGAAACTCAAAATTGACTTTTGATGCTCTAAAGCTGATTCTTCTCTCATTAAATCAACCTTATTTTGTAAGATAATCACATGCTTCAATTTCATAATTTCAATGGCAGCTAAATGTTCAGATGTTTGTGGTTGTGGACAACTTTCATTACCTGCAACTAATAACAAGGCAGCGTCCATAACAGCTGCACCCGACAACATAGTACTCATTAAAATATCGTGACCTGGACAATCGACGAACGACACATGTCTGACCAACTTGTAACGACCTTCACAACCCTCTCTTTGACACTTTGGTCTTATTTCTTTATCAGATTTGAAAGATCTATAACAATCTGGTTCCGGACATTCTTCATTGTCACACTTGTAAATCTTAGCATTAGCATACCCTAACTTAATAGTAATATTTCTTTCCAATTCATCCTTGAAACGAACAGTTTGAACCCCTGAAATGGCCCTCACAACTGTAGACTTACCGTGCGCAACATGACCAATAGTACCAATGTTAATGGTGGCTTGTCTATTGATAATCTCTGCCGACAAAGGTGTCAATTCTGAAAAGTCTGGGTTGACTGGTTGCTCTGGTAATCCTCCCCCTTCTTCGAATTCTCTTCTGGCTGTTTCTTCATCAAACTCGTCATCTAATCCAGCAAACGCCACTGATTTCTTTTCTTTGCTTGCTTCTTGCGGCTCTTCGACATGTTCATTATCACTTTCGACATCATGTTCGTATTGAACGTCAAGCTCATGATCTTCGGCAGAACCACCGATCACAATATCCGGTGTAGCATTTTCAATATCGTCGTATGACATATCTATAACTTTCAACTAGTAAAACTACGGCAGAAACCTATTTATATACTGTATATCAATTTTTTCAAGCGTTTATTACAATCATTGACTAACTAAATTGAAATTTTTCATATGGTAAAAGTACACGACTTTTGATTTTGTCATTACAGTAGTGTACAAACCACGTATATGATTAGTACTATTTTACAGCTATATTACACCTTTTATATACGTATGTTGCTATATATTGTACAGAAGTAAGGCATTCGTCGTTCGAGAAGCCCTATCGAGTGTGGAAGCCAAAATCATTCATGACACTATCCACATCTTTCCAGAGTAAATCAGTGTTGATGTCAAGGTGGTCTATTTCTAGATTTTCTAGACCACCTTGAATGGGAGATTCGTTTAGTACCATGTCCGTTAAAGGCATATCCATATTGTTTCTACTTCCAACGTTAGAATTGGTTTCTCTAGAGGAATTGGTCCTTGCATTTTGGTTAGAGTAGTACATGTTCATTCTTTGAGGCTCTGACATTCGGGCCCCCTCACCATTGGTACCAGTTTTGGCAGGCTGGTTGTAGCCGGTGTAGATTTTCTGACGGAATTGGTCGTGATCGTGATGAGATGGGGTATTGGTATTTTTGTAAGGTGGTGTCCCCGCTATATTCTGGTTTCCTTGTTGAGGCGAGTCTGAACTTTCTCGCGTTCGTTTATACGAATTGTTGGAGTCCATCGATTTGAATAAGCTGCTTCTGTTGCCATGAACAGGTATGGGTTGGGGATCCAATGGAATAGTCTGGATAATTTTTCTTGCCTTCGATTCAGCATTGATTGTACCAGATAATGAACGCTGTCTCTTTGCCCTGCTCGAGGTGTTACTACTAGGTGTAGATTTTTGGCTTCCACTCCCTCTTTGGTTTTCTTCGATGGACTTCTCTTCTTCAGACGCTACGGCTTCATCGTTGTCTGCATATCCGTATTCTTCATCGTCTTCGCCGGAACCCCCCTCATTTTCTTCTTCCCCGTCGTTTTCTTGATTTTGATTTCTGTTATTCAATATGATCATACCTGCTTGGTCTCGCAAGAGGTATAAACAATCAAAGAAAACAGAAGCTGCCATCCTTGTCCTAATATTGATGCTTAGACTAGTCAGTTTTTTTTCGTCCAACGTAGCGAAGAGCAGCCACATATTTCTCATGATTCCACTTGATCTATGTGCCATATCATGTTTCAATATAGATGCCTTTGCTGCTAATGAAATTGCAGTTAGATAACTTTGCCTGCCAGAACCTAAATCAATTACCTTCTTCAAAGGCGAGTGTGATAATTTTCCTATAATACAAGAAGCTTGCCAAATATTCAAAATATAAACACCTGGCAAATACTTAATGAATGTTTGAGTCTTCGACTGGCATATTTGGGCATGATTTACTAGCGCGATTGCAGCATTGTAAAGACGAACTAGTCCTTTCTGTAATTCAAAGTTCGCAATCCTCGATGAGTCCATAAAATAGTATGTGAGAAGATGAACTCTTGCTGTCAATAACTGAAATTCTCTAAATCCATCATCCGCAGGCAAATCGTTCTTCACCTTCAACTCGAGCTCATCCAATTGTCTAGATAAAATCTTTAACAATGGTAATCTTTCAGTGGGATCAATCAAACCACAGCTGTCAGTTGGATTTGAATTTAAAGTTTTTGCAACTTGGTCTTCAAAGTGAGCAATCTCCATCATAAATTGAATTGATTTTGGAATTTGTAGATCACTTCCGGCCTTACGTGAATTATATATCGACGTATCAAACTGAACAAACGCCGGAAATCCAAATGCAGTAGCAACATCTTGTGATACGGTATTACATACAATCCATGTCTTAGCTTGTTCTTGAGCCATTGCAAATTCTTGAGGTGTTTTCGGCTCTTTGCTATCGTGTGCCACCAACAGCCCTGGAGTATGTAATCCAATACGGATAGCTTGAAATAATGCTACACCAATTGTATTCCAAGATGAATCGGCACTTAAAGAAGACGTAATTGGTGGCCAATATGTATATAATAAAAATGCTTGTACCGAATACACAGAACTGGCATTCATTATAGGTTCATCTTCAACTGTCGGATTATATCTCGTTATTGGAGAAATAGTAATTTCTGCCAAGATTCCTTTTATAATGGGGGATAATTTTAGAAGTAACGACTTCTGTAAGTTATCTTGATATCTTCTTAACGATACAAACATAATAACCCAGAAAAGAGCAGGACATAATCGGTATATTCTTTCGGGACCCATAGATACGTCAACTACAGGTAAAATTGGATGGTAGTAGTCAACATATTCCAAAAATAATGCTCTGATGATTTCGCTAGATAACGAGACGTCTTCTAGTCGTTTTTCCTCGCATAAAAGATCTTGTTCCAGTATTTTTACTTCCTCCGCTTTTGGAACATACCTTTTTTCTGGTGGGTTTGCTTGGACCATGGGCCTTGTTATCGAAGGAGTATTAGGTATGGAAGTATTCGTCTCAGACGAGTCATGGAAGTATCTTGTGTCATACTGAGTATTATAAGGTGACACCGACGACGGCCATGATTCAGGAATATTTTGCGTACGTTGAATATGCGACTTCTCTGGTTGGTACTGAAGTTGGTTTCGGTCATTAACTAGTTGTGGTTGAGGAGATACAGATGAGATGGCCAGTGTCGGATCATTAGACAATGTTGGCACTTTACTGAGTAATTCTGCTGCCTGTGTAGTTGTGAGTTTCTTTTTCAACTCCGAAAATTCTTTCTCTATTTGGGCTATTCTGGCTCTTTTATACGTTCTTTTGTAGTCCGATTTTAAATTACATTGAAGGCCCTTCTTGGCACATCTTGAACATGGAGCAGGATGTTTCTCGTGAGCATCACACCTCGATTTCTGTTGACGACATTCGACACATGCCATTCTCTTAGTTTTCCCGTTCTTCATTTGATTAGAATCGGTAGTTTCTGGTGACATTTGATTGTTATTCTTATTCCCAGAAGTCTCATCGTTCAATTGTTGATTAAGAACTTGTAGCTCGTGTGACATATTAGCTATATGTGCTAAGTTATGTAACGAGGTTTGATGTAAGTCATCACTCATTATTATCACTATTCGATATATTCCTCTAACTCCGTACCTCGAGGTATTTAATAGTAGATATATTATTCTGTTTATCTGATGACTGTGGAGCTTCCAAAAAAAAAAAAATTCATGCCGCACAACGTCTGGAAAATACTTCAGATTGATGAAATATTGGATAATAAATAGATACCAAAGATCCAGAGTAATAACGTACTAAGCTATCAAAATGCATCTAGCTCGTTCGCTTAAACAATCTAATTGTGATATACGGCTTCTTTGGGGGTCCGTATTTATGAGAATGGCAAGTTATGGGCTAACTAATCAAGTTCTAACTCTATATCTCGAATCATTGAATGTATCGGAAACAAATATCGGATTATTTATGACGCTAACATTGGTAGGAGATACTATTATATCATATTTTTTGACATGGTACGCGGATCATATAGGACGGAGGCTTGTCATGGTCATCGGGACACTTATGATGATCACGTCTGGTTTAACATTTGCATTCTGTTCTAATTTTGTGATTTTGCTAATTGCAGCTATATTTGGGGTGATTTCACCATCTGGTGATGAAACGGGGCCATTTAAGAGCGTGGAGGAAGCATCAATTGCACACTTGACACCGCATAACCATAGACCAGAAATATTTGCATTTCATGGGTTGTTTGCGACGGCTGGTGCAGCACTTGGGTCATTATTCTGTGGAATTGTTGTTGACCATTTACATTTGAATTTGGGTTGGTCGACCGAAAACAGTTACCGTTTTATATTTATAGTTTATTCTGGCATAGCGGTGGTCAAGTTTGTATTCATGATATTTTTATCTGAGAAGTGTGAAGTTTACTACGACGATGACGAATTATCGGATGATTCTACAGAAGAATCGTCTTTATTGGATGAAAGCGATTATGGAGAAGGGTCTTCGAATGCAGTTAGAGCTTCTAGTGGAAAACTGAAATTTTCGGGCCTTTCGCCACAGACTAAGAATTATTTATCTAGATTATTGGTTATTTTCATGCTTGATTCGTTGGGGTATGGCTTTATGCCATCATCATGGGTCGTATATTATTTCAAGAAAGTTTTCAAGGTTACTGCCACAGGTTTAGGTGTGTTATTCTTTCTTACAAATTCCATCGATTCTATCTCTTCATTGCCTTCGGCCTATTTTGCGAAGATCTTGGGTCCTGTCAAGGCAATATTATTCACCCAAGCACCATCCGCTATATTTTTCATCTTGATCGCATTTACAAACAAATTCATAGCAGCTTCTGTATGCTTGTTATTATATTTTGCTACGTCTACTATGGATGTTGTTCCAAGGCAAGTTTTGTTAACTTCTATTATGCCGAATAATGAATTAACGAAAGCTATGGGTATTGTGAATATAGGAAAGACGTTTGCTAGATGTATTGGTCCCATTTTTACTGGAAAGTTAGCAGAAAAAAAGCTCTTGCATTATGCATTCATCATCAATGGGAGTTGTGTCTTACTAGCCGATTTAATTCTAGCCACAAACTTTCTTCAATTGGATAAAGAGATCTTAAGGAAACAGAAAATTGATTACAACATACAATAATTTGCAAAATGAATGTTAGAATATATTATACAGTTTATATCTAGAATGGCAGCTATTCGTAAAGCTATAAGTCATGTAATCGTTAAAAATGGTAAGTATATAAATTAGAAATTTAATCATAATAGATTCGTTAGAATAAGAAGTTCCAAATCTTCCTGTAAATTGGGTAAGCGCTCCTGATGTCTCTTTCTTCTTTAAGTTCTTGTTTCAATTTATCAATATCAGTTTCCCTTCTCCCAGTATCAACATCCATGGTGTCCAAAGGAACTATTGTGTTAAGCTTTCTGGAATATAATTTATGTGCAACAAAGAAAACTAACACAACGACAGCTCCAAGATAATTTTCAAAAAATGTAGCGGCATTAGGGGATTCTCCTAATGGGAATAAAGATATCCAAAACTGTAAACACAAGACAACAAATAAAAGCACTGCTGCGTAAACGGAACCCCAAAATCCAGTCAATGCACGGTAAGGTAATTCATCAAGAGATCTTCCTTGTTTCTTCATCGCCATTCTAAATCTGATATGAGATAAGTTCACTGAGAACCATGTGAAAAGAGTAGAAAGGCCTGATAATGCCATTAACCAAGCAAACACGTCAGTTTGCTTTGGAGATGCTGCGACAAATGATAATAAACCAACAATAGCAGAGGCTAAAATTCCAACTAATGGACGTCCCTTTCTATCAACGTAGTCAAAACATTTTGGCGCTAAGCCTTGCTCAGCCAACGAAAGAATCGTTCTGCTGAATCCATACACTGAAGAATTACCAATAGATAATAATGAAATTAAAACAATCACATTGAAAATGGATGGTAATGCACTGATACCACCTGCCTCAATGGCAATAACAAATGGAGAGGCAGATGCATCGGATGAATTTGAACCACTAAGTAATTCAGGTGAATCATATGGAACTAAGAAACCCACCAAGGTTAACGTAATCATGTAGAAAAGTAAAATTCTCCAGAACACTTGTTTAATGGCAGATGGTAACACAAGTCTTGGGTTGCCTGCAGTTTCTGCGGCAGTTAATCCAACCAATTCGGTACCTGCAAGAGAATATGTTGCTGTAATTAAAACACTCACAACACCTTTGAATCCCGCAGCAAAAGCGCCTGGATTATGCCAGTATTTTGCACCAATAAAACCACCTTTTTGACCCCCACCACAGATAAGCACGATGGCCAAAATATTAAATCCAATGATACCGATGACCTTGATCAAAGAAGCAACAAATTCGGCCTCCCCAAACCCCTTATTTCCACATAAGTTTAACCCTATGATTAATACATAAAAAATAGCCACCCATGCTACAGAATTAATATTCGAATCCCAGAAATTAATAGTCATGGATGAGGCTACCAATTCCAATGGTAGCACTACCACCCAGAAAATGGCGTAGTTCCAGCCAACTGCAAACCCCCAAGATGGGTCTACAAAACGAGTAGCATACGTCGAAAACGACCCGGAGATTGGAAATAATGCTGCTAATTCTGCTAATGACTGCATTGTACAATAAAGAAAAGTCGACACCAAACCCCACGCAATAAGCAAACTGGCCGGTCCGTTAGTTAAGGCTGGTCCAACCCCAATGAATAAACCCAGCCCTACACATCCTCCAATTGCGATCATTTGCAATTGACGTTTTTTCAAGTTTTGTGATAAGTCTGTCTTCGATGTCTTCTGGATCGCTTTTTCTAAACCGTCCAATTCCTGGTCAAATGTGTCTCCTCTTTCGGCTCTCTTGAATGAATCTCTAATGTGATGCCATTTAGATCCACTATCATGACTTGACACATCTTTGACATAAACATTGTTCGAGTCACCCGATTTCGAGTTTATATCCGTACTTTCGCTAGACATTATCTTACTAATACTATTTTGAATATATCTGATGATTCGTAGTTTTTATATATTTAAAGCTTTTTGCACCGGTTCAGGCATCTTCTCTACGGCATTTCTTTTAACGGCAAGAATAAGTATATGCAGTCTGCTGCAAAAATTGTAAATGCCTCTTCTCCCCATTGATAACGGATTCTAACTGTTCGACCTCGAACGAACCTAGAACGGGCTTTATGGCTATTAATATAGTCTTTTGTCACCAACTAAATCTATCACTTTTCTAACCTGATGCTTTCAACGTGAGTATAGCGTTCTACAATTATAGTATTAGTTTATGCATAGAACATAAGTAAAGTTTAGTCACGTTTCTGTTTTTTCTTTTTTTGGTTGCAACAGAATGCTGAGGAATGAGCCCCCAAGCCTGTAAACGGCCCATTGGCATACCAAGATACTCCAAAAATGACTATTATGAAGTGGGTCGTAGGCAGATTAAATTTAGAGCATGAAGCAAGTTATAATAGGTGGTGCTCTGTATGTGTGTATTGGAAGCATATTGCGATAAGCACTACTCCACTGATGACCGTTGCAATAGGGTGAAATGCGCGAATAAGGCAAAAACTCACACTTGGTATATCGGATAAGCGGTATAATGAGTCAGAGTATAATTAGTCAGAAGGTAATGAATGTGAGTTGATTGAAAGACTCGTCATCGAGCAGGATAATACCAAATGACATCTGCGAAGCTCGTTGGTTAGTCATAGTGGCCATTAGATCCCCTTTCGGAGCTGTGGAGGCTTCGGAAGGCTTCGGACTACGAAATTGTAGTCCGCAGATACCCAGGATTTGTTTTCATATACAATGCATACATAGCTCCATATTTGCGGACACGTCCAATAATAGTAGCTTGTTTTCCCAAATTGCCATAAAGTGTTATTGGCAGCATTATCAGCTGTGCGATAAAATCGCCCTCGGAATTCCCTTTTTCCTGATATCGCACGTGTCGCAATCAGTCGTAATTGCCTGTGTCATGAATACGTGGAGATTTATATATATATAAGTCCTCCTGGTCATCAACAAGATTCATTCTAGACTCATCGAACAACACAATATAATAACATTGAAGTATCTATAATGCCAGCAGCTATTAAATTTCGCGTTACAAATGCGCCAGACAAGTTATTAGAAATATACTCCCTCTGTGGAACAGAATGGGGAGGCAAGCTTAGCCCAAGACAATTTGGTGAAACGCTTACCCAGAACCATTTGAAGGACATTGAGAACGGTAAAAAGCCCATTGCTTTTTATTTTGAAGATGTAGAAACAGGGAAAGTGGTTATGTGTGCGGTTGTTAAACAAATGAAGGGATTCTATAAAGATGCTGACCGGTCGCTGGCCATTTCGTCAATCCCAGATCCAGCAACATTTGGGGTTCGCAATGTCACAATATTGTTGTTATGTTATGTGTTCTGTCATAAGGACTATAGAGGAAAGGGATTGGCAAAAGATCTCATTGAGAAAGTCATTGAGTATACGGAAGATAAATTAGTAGATGAACACATTGCGCTGAGCAAGGAGGAAAAGAAGGATAGTTTTAAGAGTATGGTAATGACTGATGGAAAGATTGACAAGAACTTGGCCAATTACTATTTGGGAAAACAATATTTTTGGGTGTTATACTCTGGAGTGCAGGATTATTATAAGAGATTTGGGTTCAAGTCGTATCCGTTAGACTTTTACAAAGTTCCTACTTCGATTATCACCGATGAGCAAGAAAAGCTTGTTAGAAGTCTTATTAATAAAGAGGGAACAAATGATCCTAGCAACGCCGGAAAGCATTTGAGATTTTTGCACTCTTCGAAACAGCAAGACCAGGACATAATTCAATTTATCTTACAGGATAAGGAATTAGAAATATTGACTGATTTGAACAAGCTGATATTTCACTCGGAATTAGCCGGAAGTCATAAATCATCATCGTCATTGACAAATTTATCGAGCATGTTGCAAATGTCTAAGCTTGGCTCCAATATTGCGTTGACGGCTATAAATGAAGGTGACAATCAGGGCTCACTAGGACGCAGAAAATCATCTATTCAAGAAGTTTCTGTTCCAAAATTTTCTTTCAAGCCTGAGTACAATAGTTTCCTTAATTTGGTCTCTCTTGAACAAGCTTCTGCTAAGTCTTCAAATGATAGCACTGCTCTTGAGTATACCGATATTCAGGGCGCAATTCTCACGAATGAATTACAAGAAAAATCTTACTATATACTTTGGTGTTCCTTTAAACAACAAATGTTGTGTATATTAGCAATTGGTGAGTTGAAATTTGATATGTTCGGTAATATGGCAGATCCAACTGGCATGGGTGGCAGGCGTAGTCGTCGTGGTTCGTCATTTACCGGAATTAATGACTTAGGTGGCTTTAACTTCCAGGATTTGGATCTCCTTGTTAGCACAGCTTGTTTAGTGGCCAAGAACAGGCCTATTCCTAAGGACAATTCAGTCTTTGTCTCAGTAAATGATTTACCCACAAATATTCCAATCCCTGTCTTATATGATTACTTTATGAACTACTTGCCAAAGAATTTTGAACAGGTACATTCAGCTGATGACGATACTACTCCAGCCGAAACTAGTGTTGAGATTGTGACAGATGCAGATGTAAAGCTAGGAGTTTTACCTATGTTAAGAAGATTTGGCAAAACCTCGCCAGAATTTAATATAGACTGGACTTCAGATGGTCTTTGGTCTTGGGGTTAATTTAGAACCTAATAGATTATTAACTCGACAATCTTTAAAATAAACGTTCCTTCGTAAATACATCTCTTATTGTAGAGATCGGAAGTATAAAAAAATAAACCCACGGCGGGAGTCGAACCCGCAATCTTTTGATTAGAAGTCAAACGCGTTAACCATTACGCTACGCAGGCAGCTAGTTGTTGTGTAGTTTTTGACAAATTAATATAATGTATATATTAGCTCGACCTCATTATGACTTGGCATTCAAGTCAACTCTACAATAATATTTATATTTAAACGACTTTGAATAACATTTAGTCTATATATTACACCATTATAACATCTATTAAATCAGATAATATATTTATACCATGAATCAATAAAATAAAGTCAATTTCAATGGAAGGACGTATACTATATCACAATGTAACCCAGGAGTAGTTCATTCAACGGAATGTCCGGTTACAATATTTGGGGATGAAAATCATTAGAAGATTGCATCCAAAGTACAGCACACACATAACGCTGCTAAGCACCCCATCAAACAACTCTCTCCCCCACCACTACTATGTTTTTGTTGCACATACATAGGCTGCTGTTGTTGTTGATAGTACCCTCCTTGTTGAGGGTATCCTTGTTGTGGGTACCCTTGTTGTGGGTATCCTTGTTGATATCCTCCGCCATATCCTTGTTGTTGGCCTCCTCCCCAACCTCTATCTTGATTCTGTTGGCCATAAGCTGGTTGTGCTTGAGGTATATATCCCCCAGATGAAGCATTATTACTCTCCGACCAATTTGGTGGGGCACCGGTTGGAGGAGCATACGAATCTTGTGCCTTATTATATGACATAGTTTATATTTTTATGCTCAAGTTGAACGATAATAATTATCAAGACAAGTTGATCCCTTATATAAGTAGAATCAATTGCAATGCCCGTTTTGACCAAGAAAATCATCGGAAGTGTGACTTTATCTGATTCGTGCGTAAACCGAACAAAGAATGGCAGACATGACTTCAATAGGCTTAGACATTACAATAGGAATAGAATAGGCCTTGTCGACGGTTGATTGCATATAGGTTGATATTATTAGTGTCATACATAAATAAATAGTAGTTGCGTCTATAGAGAGAAAAAGAATTAAATACGTGAAGAGATGCATTTGCAGCTAAATTATCAAGCAGCAAAGTAGAATTGAAATTGAAATTGGTAAATGCCGGTGCTATTGGTTAAAACTAAAAGCCTTGTGCTGAAATTAATCATGAAAAAAAATAGAAACTAATATAAGTATTCGAAGTTTGGATTCTTGTCACCGGCCAAAATTCTAGATCTATCGTCTAATGCGTTAAATTTTTCAATGTAGGCATCTGACTTTTTGACTTTATTTAATCTGTAGACCGAGAAGAAATATGCAACCATCATCACCATTGCAAAAACAACAGCTGCAAGAGAAACACCTAAACCTGGTCTATAGACTGGAGCATCTTTTTGTAAAAATATAAAGGTTGCAATGATACCACCAATGTTACCGAAACCAATTTGCCATGCGGTACCGACAGATTTTCTCAAGTGTCCTCCAAAGTTCAAAGAAGACCAACACACCAATAAAGGCATAGCAGTGTATAATCCGGATGCAGCTAAGAAACAGCCTGCATAACGAGCTTGAGGATCATATTTCTCACCCAAAATCAACGCTAATCCAATGATAGCAATAACACACGAACCAAGCGCAAACGGTAATCTCAACTTGCTTTTATCAGAGATAAACGACACAACGTTGTTCAAGCCGAAGGCTGCAAGCCATGGGTAAACTGAATGCTGGTTGGCACTCTCAGCTGTGTAACCCATTTGATTGATAATGGTGGCTGCAAAATATGCGTAACCATAGGATGGAATAATCAAGCCAAAGTATGCCAATGCAGGCAACCAAACGAGATAGTCTTTGAAACATTTCGCAACATCAGAGACCTTGTTCTTGATTTCGAAACCTGATTCTGCCCCCGAGAAAATAGCTAACTTCCCCTTAATGAATTTTTTCTCGTTATCACTCAAGAACCGAGACTCTTCTGGAAAATCTGCCACCGTAAAGAAAAGGATAATAGCTCCCCCACAGGTGATGATCCCGTCAATCACAAAAATCCATTGCCACGAGCTCAATCCATGTTTCCCGTCCAACTCGTTGATTCTATAAGAAATGGCCCCGCTGGCAGCACCGGCCAAACATGTCACTGAGAAAAAAGCTGAAAATCTCCTTTGAGCCTCCGCCTTGTGGTAATATGTCGAGAGGAGATAAAACAAACTGGGGAAAGTCGACGCTTCAGCCATCCCGATGAAGAATCTACAAGCTGCAAGCCCACTAAAATTTGTCACAAACCCCATTCCAATCGAAACGCCTCCAAAAATCATTATACATCCACTCAACCATATATGCGGACTGATAAACTTGATAATATAATTCGAAATAACCTCAAAGAACACATATGGCACGAAAAATAACGTCAATGCAGTGTTGTACTGGTTTCCTGTCAAATTCAAGTCTTCCGCGAGCCCGTAAAGTTTAGCGTTGGAAATATTCACTCTATCCAAAAAAGACAAAAAGTACAAAAAGCAAAATGGCGGAACAACGCATAAGTCAATTTTCCACATAAGCTTTTTCTGATTAATACTCAACTCCTTGGCAAGCTCGTCCACCTGCTCACTAGGGGTAAGTTGCGAATTTATTGACAAGCTTCCTCCGAAATCTTCGTCCTTGCTAATAGCTCCTTCCTTTTCCATTTTAGTTTCAAAGTTCTACAAGTACTTTTTATGCCGGCAAAAGACAATATATATATATGTACATAGATTCTGACATTAGTAACTATAAAATCGAAAATTTCTCCTGTTTAGGCGATTTTCACCTGAATCGGACCTACCATCTCATACATGAAGAATGTGGAGTAAGCAAAAGGCTCGATATCCATCCGGCTGATACTAATTGGTTCAGCGATACCGCCTTATGCTACTGTTCGCCAAAGCGGGCCGATAAGTCAAACGGAACCATCGTGATGAGTCACGTTCTGCCCTCTTTCCATGGTTAACACCGAAGCAGGCCGAGAAGCCATGCTGAGAAGTACCGGTCTAGGTATAGAATTTACATTGCCTAATTGGGTGGATGAAGTAATAGTATCGATAAAAAAACTTTCTGATTGTATGCAGGTCATAATCAACGACTAGATCAGTGGTAGATCAGACAAACTACCCAACTAAAGGGGGCCCAAATGGGAGAAACCCGAGTTGCAGATAGTCTAGTAATGGTTTTTGATGCCCCAAGTACTAGGTCTTCTTTTTTCTCCCTATTTTTACAGCTATTTCGTTGTTAATAGCCTTAGGTGTTGTTTGGCAGCACGCTCGTATGTCTTAAGTATACGATAAAGGTATTTAGGTCATTCTATACACCAAATTAACCATTTTATAGCTAATAAATACAGATTTATGGTATTCTTCACGATGAGTATCATCCAGAGTAGTTTATAGGATGGTCATGATTGCAGAGGGCCATATATGTTACAACCCCATATATGGTAGCGAAATCAACGACTATTCACGTGAAATATGTTAGGGTAAGAACGAGTAAATTTCGCCCTATTATAGTAAGTATGCTCAAAGCTGCAGCACAAATGCCGAAAAGCTAAATATTTGAGTACGCGCATAGAGCGGGTAACCCCGTTGAAAATTTTCAGAACATAACTTTGGTGTTCCAAAGCTCGAAAGTTTCACGGTTTAGTTTAAGGTATATTGTAGAAGGTTATCCAGTATATCAACTTACACTTCATATCAACATAGTAGGAATCATGTCTGACGTCGAAGAACAACAAGAACAACAACCAGTTGTCCAAGAAGAATTACAATTAGTTGAATTGGCTACTCCAATCCCAGCTGAAGTCCAAGCTGCTCAACAAGAAGTTAAGTTATTCAACAAATGGTCTTTTGAAGACGTTGAAATTAAGGATGTCTCCTTAGTTGACTACGTTCAAATCAGACAACCAGTTTTCGTTCCACACACTGCTGGTAAATACGCCAACAAGAGATTCAGAAAGGCTCAATGTCCTATCCTCGAAAGATTGACCAACTCTTTAATGATGAACGGTAGAAACAATGGTAAGAAGTTGAAGGCTGTTAGAATCATCCAACACGCTTTAGAAATCGTCCACGTTTTAACCGAACAAAACCCAATTCAAGTTGTCGTTGATGCTATTGTCAACTCTGGTCCAAGAGAAGACTCCACCAGAATTGGTTCATCCGGTACCGTCAGAAGACAAGCCGTTGATGTTTCTCCATTAAGAAGAGTTAACCAAGCTATCTCTTTAATCACCATCGGTGCCAGAGAAGCTGCTTTCAGAAATATCAAGACCATTGCTGAATGTTTAGCTGAAGAATTAATTAACGCTGCTAAGGGTTCTTCTACTTCTTACGCTATCAAGAAGAAGGATGAATTAGAAAGAGTTGCCAAGTCTAACCGTTAAGATGGAAATTTCTTCTTGTGTATTTTTATCTTTTCACGCCTTTATAAAGTCATTATTTTTTTGTCTTACTAATGTATAAAAAGGAATATTAATTATAATATTGTATGATTTGTACCCCGTAGATACCTAACTATTATACAATATGTATTACTTGAAGAGATTAATATATGAAATGAAAATAATGCTTGTATGATTGTTGTAACTTAAACCCTGATCGGATAAAGCATCCTGATAAAAAAGTATATAGCAGATTTGTGCAATAGCTTTTCATATTTCATTATTCTTTCTTCTAAGAGTTCAAGCTCCGCTATGCTATTATTGTTTTCGGCTTCGTCCTGTTGCAAGTCGTCCGTATTTAAATATCTTCGCCTCTTCTTCTCAAGGCACAAAATACCAGATTGCGCTGCAAGTAGTCTGTTATTTAAAGTTCTTCTAACGAGCCATTCACGGTCGATTAATAACAAAAGAAAAGCTGCAAAAAAGCAACATCCAGAAAATATTTGCGTATTTAAAAACGGTCTATCACTACTTTCATCCCTAATGGCTAATGCAATGACTTCTGCAACCAAACAGAAAAACAGGACAATAATATTAATAATTGACCATGCAGCCGGAATTTTCTCTGGTGCTTGAATAATATCGGCTGCCAATGATTGACACATCAAACTACCAATACCAATGAAAAAACCTAATATAATTGCAAAGACCGATACCGCCGGAAACGACGTAGCATTGATCCAAAAAGCCCATAGAAGAATTGAAATAAGTAAGCTGATGCTCGCGGCAAGATTATTTCTTCCCACTCTATCTGCAATTAAACCAAGACTAGGACGACCAAACACTTGACCAACATTAAGCAAAGCAGTCACAGTAGAGGCATCATGTGCTGATAAACCTACCAGAGTAGAATATGCCGCCATTGAAAAAAGCATCAAAGTGTATCCTAACAAGCATAACAGGAACCATAATGATACTAACACCAAGGGATAGCTTTTAAATATTTTGATATCGAAAATCAATTTAAAGTTATCTATTATAAACTTTTTTTTAAGCGTAATTGAGTATGGCATGGGGTTATAATTTCTGGGTTTATTTAAAATGGTAGCTATTAAAGCCAGAGTTAGAGTAACAAATCCAGTCATTCTAAGTGCCCATCTTTGGTCTCCCGTCTCCTGAATAAGTTTACTTGTAGACAAAGCAAACACTATACCTCCTAAACCAGCTCCAGAGACAGCGATACCCATCGCAAACGCCCTATATTTCTTAAAGTATTGAGGTAAGATGAGCGTGGGTGGAATAAAAATCAACAGGAAAGATATCCCCACCAAAACGCCCTGGGTTAAATAAATCTGCCAAAGCTTGGTTGCAAACGATGCAAGAATGTAGCCACATGTCTGTAGGAAAATTCCAATAAAGCAGAGCGTATAGAACCCAAGTATTTTATATGCTAATGCACTAAACGGTGCCAACACCTGTGCTAAAAATACAACTATTCCTCCAATTAACGCATAATCATAGGCACCACCCCCAGGAAATGTATTTGAAGATAGATAGTAATTTAAAAACACTCCATAGCCTGCATTGGCTCCCCATGTTGAAAAAGCTGCCATCATGGCACAAAATGCTGCAACCCAGCCATATCCTCCATCTGGAGGCTCGTCTATATCTTCTTTATCCCTAGTTTCGCCTTCTTCTTCATCTGCACTCGCATCTTTCTCATACGAGTCTCGTTGTTCTATCTTATTCTCTTCATCGGCGACGCTACGTCTGGAGGTCCTATCTAGCTGTGTGTCTAGAATTCTGTCAAGATCGACGTCATCTCGATATCGTTGGAACTCTTCGTGATCTTGTTGGTGGTCATCTCTAATTGCTGTTATAATTCTTGATAGCTCAGAGTTATTGGATTTGATTCTATTGATGCTATCTTGCGCACTTCGGCTACCAATGCTACTCCTGCCGCTGGTAATAGCTTGAAGCTCATATGGTTCGTGCCTTATGGAGTCATTAGAAATATGTGACTCTGTATCTGTCATCATTTTTGGGTCGTCTTCAAAGCTTCTATCATATGGCATATCTATGTTTGATACTTCTACTATATTAGAGTAGGTAAAACGGTTGAAGCAGTTCCCCTTCTTATATAATAGATGGAGTTATGTCTGACTAATTCTACATATCCGTTTCGCAAACATTTCCCAATTGGGACGTTTGACGTAGATTCAATCTACGAGATAACTAACAATATTCCATATCCATAGACCTAACATATGAAGGGCGGCTTCTTCATGTTGTCTTTTAACATACAATAAGCAAGAGAAACGCAGAAAATACTAGTAGCTTTAGTACACATGAAGAATTTTTTGGAGATGACTTTGTGTAGCCGTAGCTGTCAACCTCAACGGGTTGCAGCCATTACGTAAATGCCAATATATACAAAATGAATAAGGATCATGTCAGGAGCTCGGGGCTATGATATTCGGAGTCGAATAGGGGCCTGATATTTGAGTTCTTTGACAAGTTTGTGCGAAAATAACAAAAACTGGTAAGTGATTCCTAATGACTCATGGTACTGGTGGGGATAGTGCAAATGCACAAACATTTGGTGGGGTGAATATTGTAAGTAATGCCATTGACGATGGAAAATTGTTGTGTTTGTAATCGACTAGACGTATGCCCGTAACGCAAGCTAAGTTACGAAATCTGTACATAAATATATAGACTATGAAACCTGTACTTAGACATATTAACTATCTAATCAGGTCCTACACTATCTAATCAGGTCCGACACTTCGTAATATAAGACAAAAATTAGACACTGATCTTTGTGTTATTGCGATTGTTCAGATTGCTAGTTTATATAGTAAGCTTGATCATAAATTACTTTTAGAGAATGTTTTTTACAAATTTTAACAGAATATTGCAAAATGAGGACTTGTGAGAATAATCATTCTATTTCATGTAAAACACCTGTAAAACCATTCATATATAGATACCTAACTTGCATATACATAAACATTAACCAGGGGCCTTATATCTTTTTAATGATTACCAAATGGACCATTCTATCTCATGATTGTTCTGGAAACCTGCAACAGTCCAGTCTGCCAATATCGATCGGGCGCGCTTTCTTAGTATCATCATTAACCCCGATATCAGAATCCACCAATTCGCCGTTATCAGGATTTTTAATCATATTATTTAACAGTATCCGAAGATCTCATCAAAAATACATTACAACACCATTAGAATTAACTTGGGAACATGTCTGGAGCTTCCGATTTTTTGTCCAAAGGTATAGATCTCGTTCAAAAGGCGATTGATGCCGATACGGCGACAAGATACGAAGAGGCATATAAATTATACTACAATGGCTTGGACTACTTGATGTTAGCATTAAAATACGAAAAGAACCAGAAGTCTAAAGAGTTGATTAAATCGAAGTTTACAGAATATTTGACTAGGGCAGAACAATTGAAGGATCATTTGGAGAAACAAGCGAAATCCAATACGGCAGAAGGATCATCAGACGGGTCAACAAAGGCTAAGAAATCAGGAGATGGAGATGATGATGATACTAAAAAGTTGAGGGGCGCATTGGCGGGTGCTATCTTATCGGAAACACCGAATGTCAAATGGGATGATATCGCGGGGTTGGAAGGTGCCAAAGAGGCGTTGAAAGAAGCAGTCATATTACCAGTAAAGTTCCCTCAGTTGTTTACCGGTAACCGTAAGCCAACATCGGGGATTTTGTTATATGGGCCACCAGGTACAGGTAAATCTTATTTGGCGAAAGCGGTTGCTACTGAGGCCAAGTCGACATTCTTCTCTGTGTCTTCGTCAGATTTGATTTCGAAATGGATGGGAGAATCTGAAAGATTGGTCAAGCAATTGTTCACAATGGCACGAGAAAATAAACCTTCCATTATTTTTATTGATGAAGTTGATGCATTATGTGGACCAAGAGGTGAAGGTGAAAGTGAGGCGCTGAGAAGAATCAAAACCGAATTATTGGTTCAGATGAATGGGGTGGGTAATGACTCAAACGGTGTCTTAGTTCTAGGTGCAACTAATATCCCATGGCAACTAGATGCTGCCATAAGAAGAAGATTTGAAAGGAGAATCTATATTGCGTTACCAGAGGCGGAAGCAAGAACAAGAATGTTCGAAATTAATATTGGAACTGTTCCGTGTGAATGTTCGAACCAGGATTACAAAATGCTAGCAGATATGACGGAAGGATACTCAGGTCATGACATTGCAGTGGTCGTAAGAGACGCATTGATGCAACCAATTCGTAAAATCCAGCAAGCCACTCACTTCAAGTCAGTAATGACTGAAGAAGGCGAGGAAAAATTAACTCCCTGTTCTCCCGGAGATGAAGGCGCTAGAGAAATGGGTTGGCAAGAAATTGACACTGATGAATTAAAAGAACCTGAGTTAACTATCAAGGATTTCATTAAATCGATCAAAAATAATAGACCCACTGTTAACCAGTCCGATATTGGAAACCATACTAAGTTTACAGAAGATTTCGGTCAAGAAGGTAACTAGATATAATTTAGTTCATATGAAGCATCATCTTGCTTCAACGATGTAATTTAATATACATAAATACATTTATTTTGAAATAACTATAAAGTCTGCTAATATACATTCTAGCTGATTTTTGAATTCTCTTATTAGAATTTATATTTTAATCACTAATCAATTCTCATAGGCGATCTACTTCTGTCCCTACTAGCCGTCCTGCTTCTACTTCTACCTGGGAAAAGATCCTCTTCATTATCTCTACCTCTACGGCCGTTCACAGGTCTCGACTGTCTTAACTTATGCGCAAACAAATCTTCCTCCTGGTCCTGGTCAGGCTTGCGTTCACGACGACGAGTATGGTGTGACTCTCTCAGTCTGTATTTATTATGATGACGAGGCTTCCTTTCAGGTTCTCCATGCAACAAATAGTAACGCGAGTACGCACTGGCATTCTTGACTTTTCTATCAGACTGGAATGACTGTCTCACAAACAAAACGATGGACGTATCGTCCTCGTCCATAGTGTTATCTTGTTCCACTGGATTTTGTTCCTTATCATCATCAGTTGCAACACCTAATCTATTAGATAAGTTTTGCTGTTTACGGAACGCAATTATAGGAGCATAAGGCTTTGTTTCCCTCTCTTGAATAGCATCTTGGATTTTTTGCTCTTCGTTGAGTTCTACTTGAATATTAGGATTCGACGATATAGAAATAGATTTTAATGCGCTATGGGCATCTTCCATAGTCTTAAACGATACATTGACAGACGTATCATTGATCCATTGGATACGGAATGTAATTTGTTCATCAATTGGGAATGGCTCGTATACAATCTTGGATGCTGGTTCATCTTGTCCTTCCAACTGTTCTTGTTGTTCGGTAACTGTATAATTCACGTAGTAATCAATAAATGCCTTAATATCTTCCGTAGATAAGCTGTCTACTCCACGTATATGTAAAGCTTCTGGTCTCAAGACTTCGGTTTGATTATTCACTTGCACTTCAATGCATTGTTCTTGTAACTTTGATTCCCTAGCTTTTTCATCGTCCAAGGTTTTAGTTAATAACCCTCCATATGGGGCAACTTGAGGCTCACTCATGGTCTTATTCTGCTGTAGGCTTCAAGATCTATATTATATAGTTCATTAATTTTCATTGTCGAATATGTGCATTTCGCGTCACTAACGAAATTGACTTGATGCCACTACACATTGTTTAGTATTCTTTCTAAAGTTACATACATTAGTTTCTATATATTACACATATACATAGAATGACAAGCTAGTTTGATGTAGCAGGTATCTCGTAGTCTTGTTTGTGGAATTTGAGTCTACAATTATACTTATGTCTCCATGATATAGTACTTGATAACACACACACTCACACAACAGCACCAAATACATAACCTACTGCTACTTCCACCCATTTCAATACTGCCCCTATGATCTATCTGATTGGTTCAGTTTACCCTAACCAACATACAGGTCTACCATAATTGCTTGGTTCTAATTACCATCTTCCATTTTAACGTCTGCTTCACCACTACCGGAACCATTCTGTACCTCTTTATCCTCTCTTATAAACAACACATTATTGCATCGGATGAATATTTCACCTATGACTTCTTCTTTCTTTTCACCATCTTCGTATATCACTTCCGACGTTTTGTCCAATTGCAAATTCATGTAGTTATCGATTGAAATCAACGTTCCTTTATATTCTGTCTTATTCCACTTCAACCTCACGATCACCTGTTTGCCTATTAACGTCTTTAAAAAGGGTTTTGGATTAATTGGTTGAAACTAAACCGTTAGTATTATTCTGCCAGGATTTATCCCATTGGGACATATATCAATCTTTCCATCACTGCACCCAAGTTCCGGTGAAAAAGCATCTCTCGAAATTTAATAATCCCATAAACAACAAATATACTTACAGATGACATTATTATACGTTTTATCTCTGGTAAAGTAGGTATTAATGGATTATTTCATACTATTCTAACAGAGTTTTTGAAAAACTAAGATGGTGTTATCTGCAGTAGCATCAATTTCGATCATAAATTTCATAAACACGTATAATAGAAGATATATCTGGAGTTTATCATTGACACCGTGCTGAAATAGGGATTATGGAGAAATTGACATTGGTACTCTTAATTGGAGCCCTTATACGGTTTGTATTACCCACAATTTTACCGAGTTTGCCCTTAGATTTATCATCGTCCATAGAAATAGCGACCCCGTTAACTTCGTTCAAATCGCTAAAAGAAGCATTCTACTATTTACAACATAATATTGATCTATACGATGGCGGAGTCAACCATCATCCACCGTTATTAGTTATTTTGCTTAACCTTATTGATGAATACTTACCGAAGAGATTAGGTGATATAGTATTCAATGTGGTGTACACTGGAGTGGACTTGATGATTGCATGTCGATTGATCTACATAAATAAATGGTACAACAAGCACATGTCGCAGAGAACCGGGAGGTCTATCCAAGGCTTCAGTGATGATATGATAGCAGCGTTTTATTTGTTCAACCCACTCTTAATATTGACGAACATCTCGCATTCGACGTTGTGCTTTACATTTTTGGCGATCACCGAGTCGTTGTACCAGCTAGTGATCCGCAGAAATGTTGCCAGATCCGTTATAAGTATGGCAATTGCCAGCTACCTTTCATTCCGTCCCATTTTTTTGATTATCCCCCTTTTGGGATTGGCCCACTCACTCGACAGCGACTGGCAAACTGTGTATGCCCACGGAATCGCCTTGTTTTCGTCCGTGTGTGGGATATTAGTATTGACGTCCTCGGTGATGACAGAATCGTTCCAATTCCTCGACCTGTGCTATGGAATTGTCATCAAATTTAACAAAATCACCCCAAACCTCGGCTTATGGTGGTATATCTTCACCGAAATGTTCGATTTCTTCACCCCGTTCTACGTGGGAGTGTTCAACCTCTTCTCGGTGATTTTCGTTATTCCCTTCACCTTGAGGCTCTTCGAATTCAACCATAAGTCCGGCAAGCCCACCGGGGATGCATTTTTGGCCGTGCTCACGTCGTACTTGTGGCTTTCACTCACCAAATCATACCCGTCGGTCGGAGACCTCGCCTTTGCCTTGTCGCTCGTTCCAATATTCAAAGACACGATTATTCCCCATTGCAAGTACCATTTCCTAACGGCCCTTGTTCTCTTGGTGGCCTTGCTCTTGTCCCCCATTTTCTACTACTGTTGGATTGTCTTGGGCACCGGTAACTCCAACTTCTTCTACAGTATTAATTTGGTCTGGGGCGTGGTCCACGGCTTGATTCTTACCGATTTGGTGTGGGCCAAGTTGATCTACGACTACATTGAACTCAACGACGTCCCCACCGACGACGTTTCCAAGTTGAGACTCACCCAAATCTGAATTGGTGTACCCACCTTCCCCCTGCCACCCGTACATACCAATAAACATCCTGTTACACCTCCATTGTAGTTGCAATATCCCTCTACTGTCTGGTACTTTGAATAAATCACGTGCGATAAATATCTGCCAATCAACAGACGAGAATTTTTCATTTGAACGAAAAGCTCACTAAAAGAATTATACTAAAATTTGTATTTGTTTAAGTCTTATAATTAACCCAATTAAACATATAGTATCATGTTGTCCCGTGTATCTGCTCGTTCTTACAGTTCTGCTGCTCAATCTATTAAATTAACTGCTAGAGAAGCGCCAGGTAACTTATCAACATTATCAGTTGTTGTTAACAACGCAGGTTCTAAAGCTGGCAAATCAGGTGTAGCCCATTTGTTATCCAAATATAACTTTTTGAATACTGAAGCTAAATCAGCATTAAGATTTACCAGAGAGAGTGAATTGTTGGGAGGTATTGTTTCTTCGGATGTTACCAGAGATTCGATTGTTTTGAAGACTCAATTTTTGAAGCAAGACTTACCATACTTTGTTGAAGCTTTAGGTAATGTGTTGACCAAAACGTCGTTCAGAGACCACGAACTTCCAGAAACCGTGTTGCCAGCTGCCAAGGCACAAAATGCTGAAGCACAAGGTTCCAATGCATTTAAGGCTTTCGAATCTTTGCACGAAATTTCGTTCAGAAAGGGTTTAGGTAACCCATTATACTACGATGGTACCAACCCAATTTCGGTTGACGAAATCAAGCAATTTGCATCCGAAGCCTACAATACTTCCAACGTGTCCGTTTTTGGCTCGGGTGTCAACGAAGGGGACTTGAAGCAATTTATCGGTGAATCTGCATTCTCTGCCTTGCCAGCCGGTGCTTCTAAGTCCACTCCAGTCGAGCTCCACAACGGTAAAGAATCCAGAATCAGAGCTGCTGGTGGTTCTGTTGCTTTGATTGGTGTCCCAATCAAGACTGCTGACTTTGCCAAATACGAAGTCTTATCTGCTGCTATTGGTTCTACATACTTACCAGGCTCAACGGCCCCATTATCCCAAATCCCAGGTGCCATCTCCAAGGTCCTCAAATACCAAGACGCCGGTTTATTTGTTATCTGTGTCTGTAATTCCGATGCTGCTGTTGTTGCTCAAGGTGTTAAGGCTGCTAAGAAGGCTGTTGACTCTGTTTCTGCATCTGACTTATCCAGCGCTACCAAGGCTGCTGAATTGGCTGTCGCCTTACAATCTCGTTTCGAGTCCCCAGTAGATGTCAAGATCGATGCTTCCGCTGCCAAATCCCCAGCTAAATTAAGTGAATTTAACTACGTTGCTGTTGGTAACGTTGATTTATTACCATACGCCAACGAATTATAATTTATCTAAGCTGAATAAAAAAAAATTTCTTTCATTCTTTGGTTTTCATGTGCATATTTTATAAAGATTCAAACAACTTAAAGATGAAGTAGAAATTGTGGTTACGATTTATATTCTTTTCATATAGAGGAGTCAATTTCAAGTACTAAATAATTCCTTTTCGAATTTTTTATTTTTATTTGATTATAAAGAAAAAAAAGCTTTATTTTTTTATCTAATCTATACTTTATCTAGTTTTTTTTTCTTGTCTGCTTTATTACTGTTTAATATATTTATTAAAATGTTAAGTTTGCCCGTAACTAGGCTTCAACTACTAAGTGCTATACTTAAGGAACAAGTCGTGCGAAACCGTTTAAGAGATGTGAAAAAAAATTCAGATGTTCATATACGATGAATTAAATATACCAATTATACCTTAATCAACGGTTTAATTAATACATATAACATAGATATAATGTCCGATATCGAAGAAAGCGCTTACAACGAAGCACCAGAAAATTTTGAAGATTTCGAACAGGCCGATCACTTCTCTGAAGATGATTTTAATGAACCAGAAGCAGAAAATGAAAATGTCAATAACGGGGATGTAGAAATGAAAGCAGTCGATGGAAGAACCATTGTAAACGGCGGACTTGGACCAGAAGAAGTACAGCCGAGACCAAAGAGTGCTAAGGAATTGGCAGTGCCAAAAGAAGACAGAACAACCACACCATATATGACCAAGTATGAAAGGGCTAGAGTTTTAGGTACCAGAGCCTTACAGATTTCGCTTAATGCGCCAGTTTTGGTTGACATTGAGGGTGAAACCGATCCATTACAGATTGCCATGAAGGAATTGGCACAAAGAAAAATACCTTTGGTTGTTAGAAGATATTTGCCGGACGGCTCGTTTGAGGATTGGGGTTGTGATGAATTGATCATCGACCATTAAGAAATAGGTAATATGTCGACTTACAGTTGTGATATTGGGTCCATATATCCTGCTCTGATATTTATTTCGTACTATCTCGTTTTCTAAAAGTTGTTTACTTAACTTGTTTTTGCATATTTAAGATTATCGTTTATAAATATTAATAAATTGTACATTAATAGAGCCACGAATAATACCTTCTTCTAGTTAATCAATATAGGCATCTATCCATTTTGACGCAAGAAAGATTTTACGTCCATCCACCTGTTCCTTAACAAATCCTTCTACGAGTTTATCAAACGTAGCTCTCGAGAGCCTGTGGTCACCAGATCCAATTTCACCTAACTGAACCGAACAACACGCTTCTTTTAACGCTTCAACGTCAATCGTAAGATCTTTATTCTCTTTATCATCTGAAAACACTTTCAAGGCATTATATATGGTTTCCCTGTCTTCAAACTGCAGCAATTCTTTAGCCATTATGTTCAGAAACTGGGTGAAATTTATACTTTTTTCCCCTTTTTTTGATGATCCATCTACTGTTAGCATCGAGTCTAGTTGTTTATCGGTTGGTACCTTTATTCCCAATGTCTTGTATAAATTAATCAAGTCTTGTTTCGTTATCACTGAATCTCTTGATTCTCCATCTATCAAGGTAAATGCATTTCTGAGTTGCGTTTTCTGATTATTCGAAAGTGTATTTAATGCCAGCATGGTACTATTATATGCTATATGTAGAAATGTTATAAAGAATTAAACATTTATACCTCTTACATAGACTTTTGATCTGAGCATCTTTAGTACTGAAAACGTAAACAAAAATACACGCGCAACAACATAGATCTGAATCTTTTCCAGTATAGAACTATATCAACAATTCATACGGCAACTGCTTGGTATTGGATAGAAGAAAGCCGGAAGGGGTATTTAGCATAGCGGTAATAAATTGCTTGATACAATTGCATCAAAATGGAGTCAGAAACACTCTATAATCAACCAGTTGTGATTGATAATGGATCGGGTAATTTGAAGGCAGGATTTGCAGGAGAAGATAAACCAAAAGCATATGCATCTGCTATAATAGGACGGCCAAAGTATCAAAAGATTATGGCTGGCTCGTTGATATCTAGTGGTGATGATAAGACTGGAGAGGATACATTTATTGGGGACATAGCACAACAGAATAGAGGATTACTTAGATTATCATACCCCATTGAACATGGCATTGTCAATAATTGGGACGATATGGAAAAATTGTGGTACCATACATACACACAAGATTTGAAAACAAATGCCGAAGAGCATCCTCTATTGATAACAGAAGCACCATTAAACCCACGGATAAATAGAGATAAAATGTGTCAAATTCTATTCGAACTGTTCAATGTCCCATGCATATACGTTTCAATTCAGGCAGTTTTATCGTTGTATGCTTCGGGGCGTACTACGGGGGTTGTCATTGATAGTGGTGACGGTGTTAGCCATATTGTTCCCGTGTATGAAGGGTTTGCGTTGCCCACTTCCATCAAGAGAATGGATATTGCAGGAAGAGATATCACGGAGAATTTGTCTTTTAACTTGAGAAGAATGACGGGCATTTCTTTGCAGAGTAGCTCAGAATTGGAGATCGTACGATTGATTAAAGAGAAATGTTGTTACATCTCGAAAGATCCAACGAAGGATGAAACACTTTATTCGTCATCTGCCTACAATCATTACCTCAACACAAACTCCCAAAATATTAAGGAGTCTGATTTATTTGCATCTTATAAACTTCCCGATGGTCATACAATTCAACTTGGTGCTGAAAGGTTTCGTTCTACTGAAATCCTATTCAATCCTCAATTGGTCGGTGACGAATCGCCTGGATTGCATGAATTGGCATCGCTTGCCATAGCCAAAACCGACTTGGATTTAAGGCCCGTATTGTACCAGAATTTAGTATTATCAGGTGGAAATACATTATTGAAAAATTTTGGGGATAGACTCTTAGTGGAATTGAAAAACCAGCAATCGCAACAATCTGGTAGTTATGGCATTTGGAATACCTCTTCAAACACTAATAACTACGACACTAAAATGAAAATAAAAATACATGCTCCCCCAGAAAGGAAATATTCCACATGGATAGGAGGTTCTATTTTGGCTGGACTATCAACATTCAAAAAAATGTGGGTTACTTCACTGGAATATGCTGAAGATCCAGAAATAATCCATAAGAAGTGTATGTAGATTACATTGCTAGGGTATAATAATCATCAAATACATCGTAATATTAATCTAAACGAAAATTAAATACAGTAGTATCTATCACCAAAATCACCCAAACCAGGAACGATATATTTGTTTTCATCCAATTTTTCATCAATTCCGCCAGTAATAATCTTCACATCGGGATAGTTGTCGTGGAAAGCTTTGATACCTTCTGGCGCAGCCAATAAATTCAAGAAGAAAATTCTGTCCATTTTCACACCTCTACTTAATAGCACTTCAACAGCCATCATTGCACTTCCTCCAGTCGCCAACATTGGATCCAATAAGAACACGTAACGGTCACTAATGTCCTCTGGTAACTTTTCGTAAAATAATTTTGGTAAAGCCGTTTCCTCATCTCTCTGAATCAAAATTTTCCCAATTCTGACAGATCTACAACAATCTCTAAGTCCCATCTCCATTGATTCACCAGCACGAACAATACTAACACCACAGATCTTACCCAAAAACTTAGCACCTTTAAATGTTTGATTACCAAAGCATTGAATAGTAGCCTCTTCGACTGGTAATAAATTTAATCCTTCTTCCACCAATAATCTGATGATTCTGTCAGAATAGAAAACAAAATCACCTCTCTTTGTCGAATTATCACGAATAATTGAGTACAACCCCCTAAGTTGGTTGGTTTGTGGGAGTAATATAACGTTATCACTTACTTCTTGGCACTTACTCATCTTACTTATTAGTCAAGTTCATCAATGTCTTTAGTACCTGAAGATTAATTGACAAAATCGATAGATGAGAAAGATGGCTCATAACCGAGCTCAACATGGCTAACATCTGAAACAACCATTGCATGCTAAACCGGTTCCCGTTCTATGAGTTAACAGTATAGAGAAGAATATATCGAAGACTTGGTCTTTTTCATTTAACGTTTGTTCTAATATTCGTCATTTTTACTTCTGCATTTGGTGCAACCTGTTTCTAAACATATTTAAAGCCTTTTCCTAGTTTAATACAAGAAATCTCAGGTATCGCTTGTCTGCCATCTCTTGTAGACAGCCACTTGCACACTATTTCTTGAAGAAAATTCAATAACACTATACTAGAGCTTCTTGTAGCTACGGTCTATTTCTGGGTTGAAAAATGCCCCAAAATTGTTTAAGCTTCGAAGAAAGCGTTATATCTTTATTATACTAGTGCATACAAACTTATTATACAATTAATTATTCTTCTTGGTTGGCAAAAGGATTGTCAATTATTTCACTACCATCGACTGGAGAAATGGTCAATAATGAAGGGCCCCTTACTACCACAAAGCCTATGTCTCTCGTCTTTTCGGTCAAAACATTATCGTCTTCTGGGTCTAAAATTGTTAGTAATGCTTCTCTAAAATCAAATATATACTGTTCAGGCCAGTTTGTACAATATTCACATACCTCTAATATTTTCCTTAACATCTTCTAACACTAAATTCATCAACTGGTCAAATCCCTTTAAAACTCCAATAACCTGTCTACCACCTATAAACTTAACTCTGATTTGTTTATCTTTGTAATTGTTTAAGTCCAAAATGGCTTCTCTTTTAGGGCCATCTGGTTTCGAAGGATTATTATTTCTTCTTCTATTATTATTATTATTGTTATGTTGTCTTTGCTATATTCATGTTAGTCTTTGTTCAAATAGAGAACCACCAATGAAATCAATTTACATACGTTATCCATCTTGTCCTGCTGTTTTGTAATCAGATATATGGTATGGTCTAGTGATAACTTCGTTAACTTGTGAAGTGGCCGAAGAAAAACTAAGATCACGTGATTAAATTTGGACCATTACCAGTAGACTGGTGTACGAACGGTGATACTTATGTTGTAGAAGGCTGTTGAATACGATTGGACTACCTAAGATAGGTTACCTATGTTATGGTTTGTGGAAAGGGTTAGAAATATGGTGAAAAATTCATGTAGAAAATTTATGTAGAGAACTCAGGTAGAATTTGTCCACATAATTAGACCATACATGGAAATTGGCATTTGAAATTTCAAGTTTTACAACTTATGCAGATACTTTTCTCCGTTTGACAATTGAAAATAAGATATAAGAAAATGATGAAGTTTATAATAAGCTGATAATTTGCTGTAATCTTCCTATTAATATTGCAAAATTGTGTATTTTCTGACAAAGTTATTAATTTCAAAAATATAATCAAACTTTAATCTTATGGATTAGATTTTATCTTTTACTACGAAGCGTCTCTCTTTGGACGTACGATAGAACGATACTATGGAATAATAATTAAAGTTAGTATTATGGTACAGCTGCAAATTGATATAGGCGACGTTTGTTTATGTACAGTACATATGTTTATATTTGAAATTTTAGTATTATACTGATTAATCAATACGAAGTATTTGGCATTATGAGCGATATAAACGTATACGTCACCTCAGATTTAACATCGTCCGAAAGAAGGATATCCCCTCAATGGGACATACAATACTTAAAGAAAAAGTTGGAGTTAATCACGGGAATTGCTCCTAAGGATCAAACCATACAACATTATGCTATACCTTCATCGAACGAGTTCATCGTGATTCTGGATGCTAATAAGTATTCTGCTGCAGTAGATAGTACCAACCATGTTTCGGACTATAATGTTTTGCCGTTTAGTCGTCTTCACATTCATGATAACAACCCTGATTCTCAGTTAAATCAATTGCAAGGCGACGATGCTACAGAAGAATTCAAGCTTTCGGAAGAAGAGTATGCTAAAAGAACCGATTCGGTGTTACATTGGAAAGCGACAAATAAATTGGGTAGATTCGACCCTGAGTACGAGTTGCAAAAAGCAAGACAGTTTGAGGAAAATTTGAAGATATCGTCTGTCTTGCACGTTGGGGACAGATGTCGTATTATAAATATCGAGGGAGAAAGAAGGGGATCCATAAAATACGTCGGAAAGATAATGCTTTTGGACGAAGGGGAGAATGTATGGGTTGGAATCGAATTCGACGAGCCCGTGGGCAAGAATAACGGCCTGATTCTGGGAACTAAGATCTTCGAATGCAGAGAAAACCACGGGAGTTTTGTCAAACCTAAACAAGTTGAAGTCGGCGATTTCCCAGAGCTAGATCCATTTGCTAGTGATGATGATGATGACGAAATTTAGTGGGAACGGCTTTTCTAGGTCTGGTCCTATTCTATAATAGTGCTCTTAACGTATCGAACTCACGAAAAATTCGGTACCATAAATATAAATATACGTAAAACGTCCTAAATAATGCTGGGACACCAGAAACAATGCCGCAATAGTAATGTAGTATATCTAATCATCTCTACATATTTATCCATGTATATAGTGGAATATTCTAGTAGAAAGATACCAATTGAAAAATTAGTCGTGTCCAAAATTTTGACCGGTCCAAGCGGTTTCTTGCGCTACCAAAAACACATCAAGAGGCAAAATTATGTCAATAAATTCTTTTTACTCGTCCACAAATCAGTAAACAGAGTACACGATGTTTGAGTTTATTTTCCAATACATAGATCATGACAGTTTCTACAAATATCTCCGTTTGTTAATCATTATCGGGATGTATTTGATGTGCCGTAATATTTATACCGAATATGCCAAACAAAGTCAAGTCAAGAGACAACTCGCACTCGACGAGAAGGAGAAGTTAGAAAAACCTGCCAAAGAGGAACGTGAAAGAGCTGAAAAAGAAGAGGCCTTGGAAAAAGATGCTGCTTCCTTCGGATGGGGTAAGAAGACTAGAAAGAACGTAAAGCTCCAAGAAAGCGTATTACAACAAGAGTCTGAAGATTTGAGACAGAGATACCAATCTGCTTACGATGCTGCCGAAGATCACGACATCGAAGATCTTTTAGAGGATTAGGTACCTTTAAAGATATCATGCATTCGAACCAGTTTTAGCACTCATCCTGTGGTTCATGATCCAATATTAATCGAAATTTTTTTCATTTCCATGGCTTGGAACACATTTCCAACAATACAGCCTGAATATATAGTATTGTTTATGTTTCTTAATTAATTAATTGTATAATATAATTGAATGTTATTACTAGTATATTCTAATAGGCGCGCACGTGATGTTGTGATGAGCTCTGCGAGTAGGTTGAAAAATTTAGATAGATTTTGAAAAGTATAGCATATTGGAGCTAAAAAGATCTATATTTTATATTAAATTATTAATCAAATATATAAAAGTAATCATGGCAGGTGATCTGTTTTTGTCAGATCCTTCGAAAAAGAGAAGACGTTCGGGAAAAGCCACTAGTACTACAAATAAGTCGAAGAGATCAAGTCGAACAAGCACTCCATCAGCATCTAAAGAACAGGATGAAGAAATTTCTGGAGGCAGTGATTCGGAAGATGAACAAGGAAATGTTTCTGTAGGTTCAGGGGATGAAGATGTCGATCGGGACAATGAAGAAATTGAATCGGATGAGGAGTTTATGGATGAGAATGCGGCCGATAAGAGAAGAAGGTTGGCCAAACAATATTTGGATAACTTGAAGAGTTCTACGGAAATGGGTGGCGATTTCAATGACTTCGATGCACAAGATTTGGATGATGATATATTGGCCAGACGTTTACAAGTAGATGTGGCCGAAAATAAGGGTTACGTGTATAAATTTATTGGAGAGAGAGTTTCGTCGCAGATTGACGAGATTAAGACTGTCATTACCAGAATTGGGTCCAAGAACTTGACAGGATTATCGGTTAGATATCCGCACTTGTATACTGTATCCAAAGACATTGAAATCATCAAGTGGGATATTTCGTCAGACAAAAAGAAACCCCAAAGAATAAAGCATACTAGAGGTGGGTCTAAATATTTCAAATTATTCAATAATCCAAGTCAGAATCACCATTGGGATTCAATAAACTGTGTTGCAGCATCTCCTGATGGAAAGTTTATCGTTACTGGTGGAAATGATTCCCGTTTGATTATATGGTCTACGGAAAATCTTGCATGCTTGAAGGTATTAGAAACAAGATCCCCTGTAAATTCGGTAAGCTTTCGTCGTGGAACAGATCAATTATACGCTGCTTGTGCCGATTTAAGAGTCCGGACCTATTCTATAAACCAATTTGCCCAATTAGAAGTCTTGTACGGTCATCAAGATAACATATCTGATATTTCTGCATTAGCAAAAGAGACTTGTGTATCAGTTGGATCTAGAGATAAAACAGCATTATTTTGGAAGATATCTGAAGAGTCGAGATTAACCTTCCGTGGTGGTGATTCGACCGATAGAAGAGCAAAGAAATCCCATAAGAAGAAGCAAAATAAGGAAGAAGAACCATCTGACGAGCAACCATTCCATGCAGAAGGTTCGATAGACGTTGTATCGATGATTGATGAATCACATTTCGTAACTGGTTCCGATAATGGAAACATTGCATTATGGTCGTTAGCCAAGAAGAAGGCCCTTTTCACACAAAGATTAGCACATGGTTTACAACCAGAATATGCACCATCCCAAGCTAGTGCAGAGAAGTCAATCGACAATGCAACCCGACAAATTCCAGAGAGACAACCATACTGGATTACCGCAATTCATGCAGTACCATATAGTGATTTATTTGTAAGTGGATCATTCGATGGAAGTTTGCACGTATGGAGAATTTCACAAGAAGGTTTGAGATCATTCGAGTTAATTGGAAAAATCCCTAATGTGAAGGGTTGTGTTGTTAGAATAGACAGTGCAGAAATCGGGAACAACAGAGTGGTTATTCATGCGTTGGTAAGTAAAGAACATAGATTAGGGAGGTGGTTAGAAAAGATTGAAGGTGGTAGAAATTCATTAGTAAGTTTTGCATTCGACATTTAAATTAAAAATATTTAATGAAGTAAGTAGGATACGTAGATCCATAAACTACAGATATCTAGACATATAATAATAAACTCAAATAACCTTTATTAAACTACTATACATATCAACTCTAATTATTACATTCAAAATGCTGCTTCATCGTCTCCATCGTCGGCGACATCATCATCTCCATCGTCGAAATACTTTTCGGCATTATAATCATCATCATCATCCTCTTCAAAGTCATCATCCATTTCTTCTTCTATTTCTTCATTTTCGTCTTCCTTTGCCGTATGATTTGCGTTATTGGAATCTAAGTCTTCTGCCATGTCTTTAAGCTTCTCCAACATGGATTGTGCGCTATCAGCTTCTGACTCTCGTGCTGCGTATTGCTTCAAACCCCCGTCTGCTTTGAACGTAGATAATGACAATAACTTCTTTTTCTGTTTATTCGATATCCCCATAACGGAATAGAGTTCATCTGGGAAATATTCTAACTGATACGGGTGCTCTTCAATGGTTCTTCCTATCTTTTTAATCTTCTTATATTTATCTGAATATCTTTCAATCCCATCCGGCGCCGTGGTCGTCGCCTGCTCCTTGCTTGTATTCAACGTGGATCCCGTATAAAAGGGACCATCCAACATGAGATTAGAAAATGCAATAGATTGTTTGGCAGCTGCTTCTTCATTTGGCGTTAATGGCCCATTAACTGGTAAAACCAATTGAGGCTGCTCTGTGGTGTGGTCTGCGGATGATATATCACTGTAATCTAACCCGAACGGAAGCAAAACCCGACCAGAGTTCTTTGTTCTAAACGACATTGTTTGGTGAATGTACTTTAACGAGATACAACCTCTACCGTTTACGACTCTGGTCTAATTTGTCCATGTCATCTCATGAAAAAGCCGAAGCGAATTATAATGTCGCGATGATTTACAAATGTCGCGATATTTCTAAAAGGTAAACAACGACATTTGAAAGATCATATAAACATGATTATACAGCCTACTTAATATCTGCCTATTTAAAGATACTCTTAGTAGGAGGGAAAATAAGCGAATATATGATATAACTAAGGAATAACATGTCAGACCCCAATATTTCCAACATAGCAGACGGCCTACTAGGCCCAGAAAGTGCAGATGGTACTCTTGTGATTATAGTTTGTCGTGCAAAACATTTACCAAATCGAAGAAAATTAGATAAACAGTCGCCATATGTTACTTTAAGAATTGGCACTACAGCGAAAAAGACGCCATCACATTTCAGAGCTGGACAAACCCCTGAATGGACACAAGAAATTAGGTTTGAGTTGACGAGAGATCGGAAGCCAATAATGAAGTTGGACGTATTGGATGAAACTAAGAATGACCCGACGCCGATTGGAACAATTGATATAGATTGTTCGACGGTGTTTGCTAACCCGAATAACGAGAAGGATGGGAAATACATTTTTGATAAGTGGCATGATTTGACATTGAATGGAAGACGGGCCGGTATGATTTATTTAGAAATGACGTTTTACCCCAGTGCTCCCATATTACCTCCAAAATTCACGGAACCATTATACGATGAGCAGGATGTAGACACATTCCACCATTCGTTAAGCTCCAGGAAGGATTTACCCCCACCGCCACCTAAGCATCCTTCGCAGGCACATCCTCATACGGTAGCAGACGATATATTTGTCACGTCGGAATCTGAGAAAGGACTGAAACGGATGTCGTTTTTCAAAAATTCTGACGGTCTGTTGGGTGGCCGTTTTTCCGGTTCCAATGGGTCTGGGGGTGATGACGTATTTGAACCAGCAAAAGATTCGAATAGTAGCCCGCCTAAAAAATATAAGCTAAAATTAATGAATAAATTCAAAAAATTTCAGAATAAGGAACCTATAACGAATATATGGCAGAAAGGAAATGGTCATGGGAGTCCAGAAAGAGCAACATCTCCCATTAGCGATTACGTAGTGGAAGATTTTGGTGAAATCGCAAATGATAGCAAAAAGGAATACTATAAGTTGCCGGAAATGCCAGATAAGTTTAAGGAATCAGACGAGGAAGATTTTGATTTAAGGCCTCCAATACCGCCTCCGCATTTAGTAAATCAGCAAGCTGATTCTGAACTTCCACCACCGACCCCACCTACTTCGAAGAATCAACTGAGCAAGCCCCCAAGTAGGAAACCTCCGCAAGATTTGGATGATCAAAGTCATATGAAGCCATTATCAAATACCTCCATTCCATTTTCTGCTGATACAATAGGGCTTGATGAAGGAGAAGAAAATAGTCGCGACGGAACTTTGCCTACTAAGGTTTACTTTTTAGACCAGCAAGTGAAATCTTTGACTTTCACGGGCAGAGAAGATGCCCTGAAAGGTCATCAAATAAATCCAGATGAAATTGATCCCAAATATTATGCTCCTACTCCAAATGAGCATTTTGGAAGAACCTATCAACCACGGTTTTCGGCGAATGAGAAGCAAAATGGGTATTTGGGAGATGGAAAATGGAATAGAGATCCAAAATTTTCACCATCGGTATTCGATAGAATTCCACTAGTTGGTGATGAAAATTATGGGTTCGAAAATAAACCACATGTTCCGCCAAAAATACCGAAAGGCTTAACTGAACAAGAATATTATGTCTTGGAAAAGGAAAAGTACCTTAGGGATATGAATGGAAGAAGGTTATAGGAATATTAGCTAATTAGATATTAATTAAAATAGACATTAAGGGATTATTTATATCGAAGTAATATTACATATAATACATATAAGGTACGCAAAGCACAAATCCATGAGCCATACAAACTGTTAACTCAGGTAATCCGAAACACGAGAATTATTCCCATCAAAGTGTCGAGTAAAGAAAGCAAATTATAATCCAACTAGATCCATTGCTAGAAAGCATAATCGAAAGATGATTATTAAACATAAGATAAATCGGAATGTAGAATCAAATGGTATTAGGAATTAATAAATCGGTATACATATACTGATAGTCAATTCATTATAAGAGCGCAGCAGCTACAACACCAATGAAACCTAAGGCAACACCCTTGCTTGCATCACCAAAGTTAACAACGGCACCAGCTTGAGAGGATGAACCCGACGAACCAGATGAAGCCTTAGTAGATGATCTGACAGACGACGATGTCGATGAACGTTTTCCTCCAGCAACAGTTGTATTTTTGCTGTGATGAGCACCAATAGCTGTAGTGTTCTTGGTATGAGAACCAATAACAGTAGCATTGTAACCGGTCCTAGGAGCAACATAAGTAGAAGATGGTGGTGCACTTGTTGTTGTTTGGTTCACAACTCTGAATTCGCCAGCAATAGCGTTACCTTTCAAAACATTGAATTCTGCTGTAGGAGCTGGAGCAACAGAAGTCAATTTAGCAGCAGCAGCAGCGGCACTAGCAGAAGAAATTGAAGCAACAGAAGCAACAGAAGCAACAGAAGCAACCGAGGCCTCAGAAGCCTCAGAAGCGACAGAAGCCTCAGAAGCGACAGAAGCTTCAGAGGCGACAGAGGCTTCAGAAGCAGCACTAGCGGCAGAAGCCTTGGAGGCAGCAGAGGCAGCACTGGCTTCAGAAGCAGCAGAAACAGCAGAAGCAGCAATAGCAGATGAAGCAGACGAAGCAGAAGCAACAGAAGCCTTGGAAGCAGAAGCAGCAGAAGCTTCAGAAGCTTCAGACGCAACAGACATCGAGGAGGATTCTTCTGGGGAATATAAAGTTTTGGTGATAGTAATGGTCAGCTGCACTGTGGTAGTGGTTTCAGCAGCTTCAGCACCGGCGGCAGCCAATAAGGCCAAAGGTAAAATACATCCAACTAACATTTTGAATTGCGTAACGAGCGACAACGGTAGGTCTAAAGAGTGACTAAGGTGAGTTTAAAAGAACGACAACCTGAAGGATAATTTAATCAAAACAAAACAAGATTAAATTCTTACAACACTTCAGGTCTCGATTGTGGAAATAACTACCTATAAATCTCTACACGTAATTTAATCGTTTATTGGTCATTAACCTATCGTATGCCGTTTTGCACAAATCAGCACTCGTATACCTACGATTTCAATTGGCAAAAGGAAATGTGATTTCCCTTTGCGGCTGCTAAACATATTTTACGAATTAGCCGTTTAGTTTCAACAATGCGATGTTTTCAATTTTTGCAAATTTTTTGGTGTACGACCATGCCGAATTTCACGACCTTTGTCTAAAATTCGCGTTCGTGGAGTACTTTGTCATTTACTATCTATATTAACCTATAACATTCTTCTTCATGGATAAGTAAACTCCAACATGTTTAAACTTTATTGGTGCATATGAATTAAAATATAAGGTATAAGATTTGGTTATAGAAATAGAACAAAAATTAGACTACTGTTATATGCTACATAAAAGGTATTCTAGATGCGGACGAAAGCGAAGTTACACAAAACGCACGTCTTGTTTTTTTGTTATTCTTTTTTTGTCTGAAAAAAAGTCTTTCAAATTCTCATCGTTACTTGTCTGTGCTTTTGGATAATCATACATATGAGACGAAATATCACAAATTTCCGACTCTCTGATGGTGGTATCTAGCAGTGCAAGAAAGTTATTCTTGAATTCATCACTACTAATCTCTCGAAAGTCAGCCGCTACTAATTCCAGTAGAGGGATGAACATATGTGGATACATCGATTATCGGGCTCATCATAGAAGATATCACTGCTAGTTTTTCCCCGAAAAGTACATTGATGTCATCGTTCATAATATTATGGTGCAGTAATTATTCGCTTCAATTTCGTCAGATTTTTTTGCTGCGAAACTGATAGTGTGATGGTTTTACTATACAGAATTGGTTGTTCCATAATTCAATAGCTGAGATAGTTTTGCTTAATCTCAATTATAAGACAAGATCTATCTAAACATAAAACTGACCATAAAATTATTTAAAAGACTAGGTTCGAAGAGTATATGGATTCGTCTTTATTTACTGTCATTCTTTCGTATGCTCAGTACTCTTCAAATAATCTTAACAAAGAGTATTTATTAAAGGGTTGCTCGACAAACACAACTGATGCGGCTGCAAATTTAGTTCCATCCGATTATGACAACGCTCTTAGACTTCGCTTATCACCCATATCTATTTATGAAACGATTAACAAAATAACATGAAAGTAGTTGAGCAGAATACTTAATTATCTCCTCATGTCATTGTCAGTCTTTTGATTGAAATCTAACTTGGTGGTTTCTGGGGTATCATCAGACCCTGTGATCAGTTCATCAAAAACGGCTTCGTGGGTGGAATTCGCATCATTCCGTTCAGTACAATAATCATTATCGGAGCTATTTTGGCTGTCACTGAAATAATCCGAAAATAACCCGCCTCAATATCGCATTTCTTATTCTCCTCATTGCAAGGATAGATGTTTTCCGTTACAGAAACATGTATGTTGCCGGACCTGACATTATGTGATATCCCATCAGATGAATCTCTTCAAGTCTTGATTTAATACTGTAATATATTTCCGCGCCCCATTCATCAATGGGCTTCTCCTCTCCTAAGTATTCAAACATATGCATCGGATGACTTGGGAGTCCATTCCAATACCCAGACATGATAAGTATTGCATAATTTGAAGCAAATTGCGACTGTGCAAGCATTTCGTTAATCTCAAGTTCCTTTATCGTACTAGCTCTGTCGTCTTGGAAAATGTGCCCGTGCCATCTCTGGATAATTATATAATTTAACAAATACTGGCGACGGGAGTTCCAACCTTATATAAGAAAAGCCTTGATAGGATCATATATTATTCGACAACATGTGTTTCCATGGATTTCATCAAAGCCATCATAGTCCTCGTTTTCTTCGATCAGCTTTAGTTTGTCCTTAAGTTGATTTCCATGGGCCTTCTCACTCGTCTCACTACTAGTGGGTTTGGATTTTGCATCTTTCCACAGACTGAGGTGCAACATTACGTGTGGATCAATTTTTTTTTGTGTAACAAGCGCCTAGAGGTCGTGTGCAACAATAAAAAAAACGATCAAAAAAAGTAATAGTGAAAAATTACTGTAAAGTACAAAGTGAAGACAGCTAGTAGAGTAGGGCAAGATGCTTAGAAACAACATCCGTCGTTATTCGGTTAAAAATATACCATTTGAGGCACAGCCTAAGAATAAGTATAATGCACAAAGATCAGCGTTCAACTTAAAGCCTGTGCCAACACAAGGATTAGTGCACAATCCTCCAGCATCCGTCCCAATCGCCAGAAATACTCCTAAAGCATTTTTACCACCCAACGATCCAAGATTACATAAACTTGAAGGGAAATACAAGACTTACAGCGCAGATGTATTGGAAGACATGCCAGTTATATATGGTATGGCCAAGGAAAAAGACTATAGCATGACAGCCGAAACTGCGAGAGAGATTTTGAAATTGAGAACCGAAGACCCTAGCAAATGGACCATATCGAAGTTAGCCAAAGAATTCAATGTGTCTAAGCAATCGGTTAATGTAGTGACCATGAAGAATAAGGAAAGAGGTGAAGAAGTGATGAGTCAATTGGAAGTCTTACAGGAAAAGTGGACGAACAATAAGCTTATGAGCAGAAACGACAGAAGGAAGAGAGTGCAAATGTGGTTGAGAAACGAATATTAATGTATATAGTAGCGGAAACGTATATAACTTCCAATAAAAGCCTTGTATTTATAATTTACACCTATAATACACTATATAATACATACGGGGGTAGAGCTTCAGTTCTTGTTTAGCTTTTTATCCTCCTTCTCAAACTCATCGAACGCTAAGTTTTCCAAGTCCTCTAAGTTCAGTTGGATGTTGATCTTGAAACCTATAGTAGATTCGATGATCTTTTGAATCTTATCATGCAATATTGATCGGTTAGAGTGAATCTCATACAATAGTTCATCGTATTCAATTTGGATATTCTGAAACTTATTTTCAACCTCTATAAAACCTTGGTTTGTATTGATCTTGATAGACCGCAATTCTCGTTCTAGTTTTTCAATTTGCATCGAGTAGGTGGTTGTATCATTAATCATTGTTTCATATATTTCGTCATAAGTTGATTTATTAGCAGTTAATTTGGCTTCTAATGTTTCTATTTCTTCTCGTCTTTCCATTATTAATTCGGATATTAAATCTATCTGCTCTTGAAGCTTTATCTGCTCATCTTGGTGCTTATGAACGTTTGTGTTAATTATAGATTTGTAATTCAATAATTGAATTTTTTCATCCTTCAAATTCTTGTTTATTATTTCATTAGGTTTAAGCAAGTCGGGCGTTTCATTGATAATTGTATTATTTCTAAAGTTGATTTCAAAGTTGTAATCGTAGCTGTGATTTTTTAATTGAATCTTATAAATCAAATTATTATACTGTTTCAAGAAGTTTTCTAGACTTTGATAATTCTTTTGTAAGTTGATTTGTTTATTATGGTACACGTCCTTCAAATCTTCTAGGCTATTACTTATTAGATCAATTGATTTGGATAATTTATCTCTTTCGGTATTCAAATTATCGATGTCATTCGGGGTTAATCCTTGTTGGCCGATTTGCGCTTCGTAATCCCTTTTCACAGATTCGATATTATTCAATTCCACCTCACAATTGCCAATTTCTTGGGTGATTTTGTTTAAAATTTCCGACCATTTCAGTTTTCTGCTTTCCATGGTCTCAATGTATGCCTTGAACTTAATAAGATCATTTTCTAAGGCTTTTGATTTCTTTTCGGAGTTTTCCAAGATGTCTAACTGTCCGTTCAATTCATTATATTGGTTTAACAACTCATTATTCTCATTACTGATGTTTTCTATATCCTGTATGATGTTGTTATTCAATTCATCAAATCTTGACTTCATTTCATCGTAGTACTCCGAATAATCATCACGCTCGTCGATGAACGCCCTGTATGACTGGGTTATGTAGTTTATAAAGATCTTGTCAAACTCGTCATCAGGACTAATGAGATCTACCTTAGAATTCAAGTTTAAAACCGATAAATTGAGTTTGACAAGCCAATACAACATTCCCAAGAAATTAGGCCAATTCTGTCCCCCGACAGCACTGATCTGTGAGCGGTTGATCCCATCCAAATATGGGTAATTCAATATCTTCAACAACAAAAACACTTCGGTTTCAATCGACTTCGTGAATCTGTAGTACGGATCAATCTTGTTGTACAAAAACTGGAATATTACGACGAAATCCTTCTGCGTCGGCTGTTTCAACGTCTTAAAGGTGAGAGGGTGGTTCATTTCAAGCTCAAATTTATTGGCCAACAAAAAATCATATATCTCTTGCTGGATCAATGTCTGGTAGTTCTTATCCCTGAGCGGCCGTTGGTCCTGGTTGAACGGGGTCTGTGTCTGTTGCGATGCCTGCTGTGATTGCGATGACATCTGCGACGACAGCATCGGTGCCTGGAGGAGCGAACTCTGTCTCCGCCTGTTGATAGACGCCGGCGTCGACAACAAAGATCTCCGTTTACCGGTGTTCCCCATCGACAAACTACTACTATCTATGATGTTCGAGTTCCGGCCACTCGCTCCTCCAGATGTCCCATTAAGGTTCAAATTCCCTAGCAACGACGTCCGGGCAGCACTGGCCATCGATAATCGCTTCCCGTTATTCTTCCTCAACAACGAGGATGCCTGCGGTATATTATTCATGGGGTAATCAACATTCATCAATAGTGTTCTCTGGTCTTTGTTTATCTTTATCTGTTTATTTACCGACTAGTTTAACTCTCAATGATCGGGTAGTGCGAAAACCACCATTTTCCACCAGGCCACAATTGATCCACCCCTGGTACTTCCAGACCCCTTGGTGAGCTGTGGTTGGGCAACCGTACTATCTAGTGATATAGCTTTGTGTTGAATAACCGAGCAATCGACTTTTGTGGGTCCAATCTACCAGATGAGCCGGTCCTATGGTACATATGTGACGAAAAAGGGCCCCAAGGTCGCTTTTGTGGCCTGGAACCGAAATTTGAGGGAAATTAAAATTCCAAAAAATTGAACTCGGGAAAGAGGGGTAAGGTTTGTGTCACAATTATATTTACGCGCGCAACCTGCAAAATGGCCTAATTCGTAAATATTGAGAATGTTACACAAAGTCACCGGTGGGTCCTCGCTGCGAAGGTCATAATCTCATCCCATTAGCTCAATACATCAGTGGTTTTCTATCAATCAAGCAATAGACATCAGGCAAACGTATAATAGTATAATCAAACCATTCATACGATTCATAGGATTTGAAATATCAGATTAAATTTCCCCGTCTTCAGTTCATTATAAAATTGTGGAGTTTGGAATATCAGTCGCAGTGAGTCCCTTTTGACATTTTCCATTGATACAACCCTTCAGAGTGAAAACAAGTAAATAAGAGTGCACGTCGACGCTAATTGTGCCAATCTTTCTTCTTAACTGTATTATTTATATTATTTTGATATTGTCATCTCACCAAGAGATACATTGCAAGTACCATAGTGCATTATGAGTGGTGAAAAGCCTACGACGCCCATTTCATCGCCCAAGCTCCCCAAAAACATGAAACTCGAAACACCCACCACCCCTCCGTCACGGCACAAGCAGAAGCGCATATCGGCCAGTTTCTTGAAGACTCCTGAGCAGCCTTCGGATATGTTGGCGTTTTCGCCATCTTACAAGAGGACCAGCTCAGGGAATTACAAATCTCCCGATTACAAGTTCAATGCGCATGTGGCACCATCGCCGTACTCCTCGTTAAAGACTCCGAGACATACCGGATATGATTCGGACGATAGTAATGAGAGAATAAAATTCCAGAAAACCCCCCAGTATTTATCCCCCGGGAAGAAATTGTTCAATGATGACATGAGCAACAAGGAGGGTTTATCTGAGATAAGTCTACAATTGAAAAGCAAGTTGAGTTCTGCTGCGGGCAAATTACATCAACAACAACGGCAACAAGAAAAGGTTCCTGCAAAGATTGACTTTAACGAGTTATCATTTTCGTCAGCAACATCACCTACAAAGAAACAAAAGTCGAATCAGGAAAAACCATGGAACCCAACCAGTTCTGGCCAGACCACAAATCTTAATTTACAAACATTACAACAATCACCAGTGCCAGCGAGTTCGCCTTCATTCTTGCTGACTCCACTGTTTCAGCAATCGAGAGGCTTGAAACAGTCACCAACCTTACCAAGTGACCACCAGAGTCATGCGAATCATATGCCGTCAATGGATGACGAAGAGTCAAGTGCGCACAATGCCTTGATGGCGGCATTGACCAGACAGAGAAGAAAATCGAGAACATCATTCTCTTCGTCCCAACGTCGTCCATCCTCTACGTCAACACTCTACGACTCCCAGCCTTCCAATTTGGCCCAGCCTTTGCTGGCATCGGGTTCTTTGCAACATATCGCAGCTCATGGCCAATCGTCACACCACTCGCAACAGCCGCCATTGAAATTGCCGCCCATCAACCCAAACAATACTAAGGATTCAGATAAGCCGGTTAATGAACAAGACGCAGTACTATCTCTAATGTCTTTATCGTCTCCCCAGTCGGTCAAGTTTTCGCACAGCAGAACTCACAGCTTGAATAACAACTCCCCGGGTTCGTCTAGGTCATCATCTGTTGCTATAAACAGTCCGGGTCACCAATCTACAAATACCAAACTACCACCCATCAGCGGCTTGATTAATCCAGCAACCTCTCGCGATGCTAAGAAGAATTACGATAATGACGAAACTGACGTAGAAGATGATGCAACTGATGATGACATTGATAATGGGATAAATAATAATGTATAAATATTTACATTTGTTTTAATTTATTTATTTAAGATTCACGACCTTATTTCCATCTCATTAATTTGAAAAGATTGTTATGGTGACGATTTACGTATATATTTATAGAAGCTAATATAAGCTTTGTACTTAATATTTACTTCTCCGCAATACGAATTTCGCAGCAATTAATCGCTTCGTCAAATATTTAATCTCCTTAACCCCTGGTTCAAACTACTAAGACATATCCTACTCAACGATTGTTTCATTTAAACTTTAATAGTTTAATATGACTATTGTTATTTCAGTTAATTCACTCGATACTGTATCGAAGCTATTCAATATTATTGGCCTTTGATGCTGCAAATGCTATCCTGATACTTCTAGGCCATCATGATAAAAATACCGAACATCTCTTATTTCTGATTTAAAATTGAAGAACTCTTGAGTTGTTAACTAGGGTTTTTTTTTTTGGGGGGTATCCCATATTATTCACACAGATCATAGTATGTTTTGGTTGCCTTATTGTTCAATTTTCATGCATGTTGCATATCAACGATGTAACCTGAATGTAGTATCAAGGTGAAAAGATGAAGAGGTTGACATTTGTGTACAGTATTACCCCACGCCAATATATATATAAAGCGAGTTGCATCTTGGTCTCTTGGTCAATCGTGCTAGTACAGACACAGATATACAGTTAGATAACAATGGCTTCTACAACAACGTATAATACTTTACTGAACTGGAGTTATAAACGATCTAACAAAGATTCCACGAAATGGCAACCATGTCTGAAGAAAACAACTGGAAATCAAATACACACTGACTTGTTAAATAATGGTGAGATCCCAGACCCATTCATTGATAGGAACGAAAAGGACTTACAATGGATTGGAGAAGAAGATTGGGAATATAAGACTACATTCAAGGTTTCTTCTGGTAAGAAACACGAATTAGTGTTCGAAGGGCTCGATACTTTTGCTACTATCTACGTTAATTATGAGCAAGTGTTAACTACTGACAATATGTTCAGAACTTATACTTTGGATGTGACAAATTGCTCTCAAGAACTGAACGAATTAAGAATTGTTTTCAAGAGTGCATTGAAACATTCCAGGGCATTAGAGGAGAAACATGGGACGTTTACTTGCTTCAATGGAGAGACTTCAAGAGTACATGCTAGAAAAGCTCAATATCATTACGGATGGGATTGGGGACCTTTGTTTCTTACATGTGGTCCTTGGAAACCAGTAAAACTTGTCACTTACTCAACTGCAAAAATAAACGACTTCTACGTAAAACCAACAGTCGATGAAAATCTACATGCAGAATTGAGTTTTGAAGTCGAAGTTGAATCGATATCAGATGATTGTCAATTACTGATTGAGATTTTTTCATCTGCCGGTAAACTTATTAAAACCATCAAAGAATCTGCAAATAAGTCTTACATCTTCGATCCGATTAAATTAGAAGATCCAGAATTATGGTATCCAAAAGGTTATGGAAAGCAACCTTTGTACAAGTTTGTGGCAAAATTGCAACAATCTGGTCAAATAATTGACTCTGTCGTGACCGAAGTTGGCGTGAGAAGAGCTAGATTGGTACAAGAACCTGTTAAGAATCAAGATGGCTCGTCATTTTATTTTGAAGTTAACAATATCCCAATCTTTTGTAATGGGTCAAATTGGATCCCAGCGCATTCCTTTTCTTGTTCATTAACTGATGATGACTATGTTGACCTAATCAGATTGGCAGATGAAGGTAACCAGAACATGATTCGAGTATGGGGTGGTGGGTTTTACGAAAATGACATTCTTTATAAGCAGTGTGACAAGTTAGGAATTTTAGTTTGGCAAGATTTTATGTTTGGATGCGCTATCTACCCTGGATACAAAGAGTTCATTGATAATGTAACACATGAGGTTGTCGATCAATTGAAACGGTTGAGAAATTTTTGCTCCATTGTTTTCTACGTGGGAAACAACGAGGACTATCAAGTTGCGGAAGATTTATACAAGAAGAATACATTCACTGATGAAGAATTCCCAGCCAAGAAATTATATGAACGTATTTTGCCCGACATGGTTTCAAAACTAACCAGCGGAGTTGGCTATCAATTTGGATCTCCAATTAGTCCTGGCCAAGGGCTTCCAACAACAGACGTTACCGTAGGCGATATTCACCAATGGAATGTATGGCATGGAACCCAAGAGAAATACCAAGACTGGGGTAAATTAGTAGGACGGTTTGTTTCTGAATTTGGTATGTTGGCATTTCCTGATATAAAAACATTAAAGGATTGTATAACCGACGAGGAGCAATTATATCCCCAGCTGGAGACCATGGACCATCATAATAAATCTATTGGTTTCGAAAGAAGATTGGCTTTGTATGTAATGGAAAATTTCCTGGTTTCATCTATGGCTTTGCCAGACTGGATTTACATCACACAGTTAATGCAGCTGGATTGCCTTGCGTATGCTTATAGGAATTGGAAGCGTGAATGGGGCTCCAAAAATGAAAGAAAATGTGGTGGGGCATTAGTCTGGCAAATCAACGACTGTTGGCCCGTCACCAGTTGGGCCATCATCGACTTCTACCATAGACCAAAGTTGGCATATTATGCTATTAAGAGAGAATGCCAGCCATTAATGTTGGGAATTTACAGAACTGAAACCCGGTTGAGACAATCAGGCGAACCAGACCTCGAAAAACAAGCTCCACTCCATGACTATGCTCCTCGCGAGTATACCATCGATGTCTGGGGCGTAAATTCAATGTTACAGGAGTTCTCGGGGACATTGGAGGTGGAGATATATCACTGCGAGACCGGTGAATTGGTGTCGAAGTTGCCAAAATCCAAAATTACGCTAGCACCCAACCAAACCACAGAACTAGTAACCAAATCTAAGATCGATTCCAATAAGCTTGTAGTGCACGCCAAACTAGTCGATTCTGCTGGCAAGTTTGTTTCTAACACTAGCGATTGGCCCCAGCCCCTCAAGTACATCACATGGCCAAAGGACACCAAGCTTGATGTATCGATTCCAGAAAACGGCACCCTAAAATTGTCCACCAATAAGCCTGTCAAGGGTATCGCACTAAGTATCGAAGGTGATTACTATTTACATGATAATTCCGTCGATTTATTGCCCAATAACGATCATTACATTAAAGTTGACAATCTACAAGTGGATGACGTAGCTAAAATTTCGGTAAACTACTTAAAATAGAAAAATATAGAACTTCTTGTTAGTATTTATGTTTCTCGTATAATTGATGCAAATTGCAGCCAATTGTAATCAGTGGAGCGTAAGCAAATATATACCGCTACCGGTAATCCATCCTCCGTTTTCGCAGTGCTTTCCCCATAAGTTACCCGGTGAGTAATTCACATTTCCTATATGGGAGAGAAATACAAAACCTGAGAAAAGTAGTCAATCTTCCTAGTATAAATTTTCTTAAATGAGACCTGAGTTTATACACGACCTATTGCTTCCCATCACGCGATTTCTTTCTTTTGCTTCTTTTATTACGCTTTATTAGTCCATATTACAAATCATTATAAAAATTTTAGTTTTTATATATAAATTTAGAGGATTACGTTCATCTTAAATCTAGGGGAATTGAAAGATAAAGATGACTAGGATCTTGTTATTATTACATCCAACGGCTGTGACTGATGAACAATTGGTGACTAAAGTCAAGAGCGAAATAAGCAATAAGAATAATGACGCTGATGTTGTGCAACATATAATAGATAGAGTTGCGAACAAGATAGTTAAATTGGATGATAAGACATTTGATGAAGTGATATATATCAATCCAAACGAGGGAGAGTTCAATAGACAGTTACCAGTACTGACAATAACTATTATATATGATAGTTTGGTTGAGGATGGAGCACTTACAGGAGATTTACCTACCAATCAAAATTTGGATGCAATCATGTCGGGATTTGTAGTGGGCGAACAAGGCAACTGGATTAAACCTAAGACCGGGGGGGAAAGCGTATCGATTCCATTAAAAAAGAAGGAGGTGGCAGTTGGTGGTGCAAGCAAGCAAAGCTTACCATCGTTCAAGAAGCTTTCCCCTACACAAGCGACGGTTGGATTAACAGACACATCAGCATCTAATACAGACGAAGAGAATGACGATGCTAACTCGAAGCGTAAGCTACAAGAAACAAAACTTGCATACTTTTCTGAATCTGACGACGAAGAAGAAGATGATCAAATAATAGATGAGAATAATCTTATCTCTGAAGTACGTACTGCCAACTTGGTCGTTCCTAAGAAGTGTGAATTGCCGAATGGTAAGAAGAGAAGAAAGGCATGTAAAGATTGTACTTGTGGATTGAAGGAAATGGAAGCCCAGGAAACGTCTGACAAACTGACTTTGCAAAACTCGATACTCAACCAGATGGTGCAGCTGGCCAATTTGGAAGCAATGAAGATCGAGGAAAAGATGAAAAATGCCGTGAAATTTGACGATAACGACTTGGCTGAAATTGACTTCACGGTCGAAGGTAAAAAAGGTGGTTGTAGCTCGTGTTCCTTGGGAGACGCGTTCAGATGCGATGGTTGCCCATACTTAGGTTTACCTCCTTTCAAGCCGGGTGAAGTCGTTTCAATCGACAATTTTGGAGAAGATATCTAAATGTGCATGTAAGTGATATGCTGGTATAATCCAGCATAAATACTAAATAGAAAAGGTAGGATAGTAATATTACAATTTTGGGTTACAATATCTTTAGACTGTAGAACACACGGGCGCATGAGTACTAATGTACTAATATTGAAGTCCTGTAGATTGTTTTTTAAAAGGTGTTTGACCGTTTCCTAATAAGGTTGGCAGTCCCACATTGGAATGTAGCCATAATGCATCATAGTAATCGTCACTTTTTGAAGTGCATTAGCCAAGGATGCGCCAATTTTTATAGCCCAGCTTACGTACATATTGGACCAAATTTCAATGCTACTGCAAACTTTGTCTGACGTAAACTTTGTTACCTTAATTTAAGATTTTGTCACCGTGAATCAATGTTCGTCGTTGATGATAAATATTCATGCCATCTTAAAACCTTCTCATGAAGACCCGTCGGTGAACAAAAACTGCCAATGCTTACATTTATACGCAAGTTATTTTTCAATTCTCCATTCATGACTTCTCTCTACAATTCTTCCGTACTATGATCCCCAACCAAACTATCACATCTTCAGTTCTGTTGCAATTAACACTCTTGAAATATCCATGGCGTAGCCGGGGGTCGTAGCCGGGGCTCGTGGTCTGGAACTATTCCTCCTCCCCCGCCAAATAGCGGCTAAAATCTATATTGTCAAGTGAATCGCACCCACCTTTTTTTGCGGCGTTAAGATGTCTAAATCATAATACTTACTGCTTAACCCACCTTGCACTCTCTGGCTTCTAGCTTGACAGAAACTAACGTCCGTCTGAATATCTCTATCTTCGGCTTTTCATCTCCAATGACAAGTGGCTTATACTAACAGAGATCAGTCGTCGCATTTTGTTCCTCTGAACGTCGGATTCAGCCAAGCGCATATCACCCTTAATGCATCCCCTATTATTTACCAAATTCAGCAGCGGTTGGCGGACTTATAGTCTTTTGCAGGGCTCGTAAGTCATATATGCCCTTATATGTGCATATATGCCCATATATGCGTCTCACAACTGAAATATCCGGCATACCCTTGAACACTTGCAGCGGCCATAATAGGTAATATGGGTTATCTATGCATATCTAGATGACGACATTGCGACATCTAGACACAGAATTCCATTGGTTGCTTATGAACCCAGGAGACACTGGTGGCTCCCGCTTATATAATCAAGCACGCGCATGTCTATACCGATATTCGCAGCATAGAAAACCCGCCTCATATTTGGTCATTTACATTAGAATTACATGCCCCTTAATGGAAACTCAGTAGCAGCAGAGATATAGCACGCTTGTGATATTGGGCTACGTGGGGGTTCTGACAAGTTAACAGAAATAGTAGTCGTGCGATGCTGGCACGTAACCGGGTTCCATGTATTGCGGTATTACTGAGTGTTGCTGTCTCGATTCAAGAGCAAACGAATAAGATATGATCAAGGTAGATTCGAAGTTGATACCTGACGTTAGTGGTAGCGATTGTGGCGTAGAATGTTAACCTTTTGACGTGTGGTTGCACAGGAACAAAATAGAGGACTTGATGAAGCTGCGAAGAAAGGGCGTGGCCGTTACGATATGCCTCGAAGCCGATCTCGATCTGTGAGTATAGAGGAAAGGACGAAGAGGATAACTAGAAACAGAGATATGTTACAAAGGTACAAAGGCATAGCCAAGAGCAAATATCGTAAAAATGTAGAGCTTACATTAATAAATAACTAAAATACAATAACTTTACAACTAACAAACATCTACCCTAATTAAATTCCAGACATAATTAAGGACGACGTGAAAATAACGTCAGATTCAAGTTGGGGTTGGTTACGACTGTTGATGCATATTACCGAACTCAAATCCGTAATTGGAGCCCATAGGAGTTGGTAATGAATTGAATCTCGCAGATTGAGGGTTTTGATCGTAGTTTATTTGCATTTGCGAAGCATTAACAGGATTCAAAAAGTCAGAATTTGCTTGGTTGATAGTAGGAACTGTCTGGCCCGGAATTGCAGACAACGGAGAAGCCTTATCTTGTTGCAATTGCTGTTGCAATTGCTGTTGGTTGATAACGTTCATATCGTTGTTAAACGCAAATTGGAAGTTTTGTTGCGGATAAGGATTTGGTGGTACTATGAACTGCGTCAATGGGACATTAACTAAAGGCTGGCCATTAGGGTTACTGGACGCCATATTTTGCGGTATTGGAGTTTGTAAATTGGCTGATGCAGCCTGTTGTTGTTGTTGTTGCATTTGCATGTACTGTTGGTATTGCCCTTGTTGTAACTGATACATTTGTTGATTGTGCAATTGTACCTGCTGTTGCTTCAATGACTTCTGTCTACAAGCTGGACAGCCCTTATTTTTACCATTTCTTCTAGGAGTGTATTTGTAGCCTGGGTACTTTTTAGCATGAGCCACTTTTTCTTCCTCGGCCAATTTGTTCCAGTGGTTCTTTTCGGGCACAGAAAGTGACCTCCATCTTCTACCTAACTCTCTCGACACGTCGGGGTTGGTCCTTATCACGCTTCCTTCTTCCAATACCAGCTGGTGGTTCTTCTGACGGAACAATATAAATGCATTTCTAGGTCTAGGAATACGATTGGTGTTGGTTTTACATGTACACTTTTCAGCAGGAGCTGACGTAGTGGACCCATACTGACTACCCACGCTAAGACTCGATGCTGGCGTGGTATTAGCTGATGATGGCTGTGATGCACTCCCATTTTGCGAGAAAACATCAGGAGATGGCTGCGATTGATATACAAACTTTTGATCTGCATTTCCAGCTAAGTAGCTTCCCTGGTTAATAGGAACATTCACAAAGGTAGGGCTAATTTGCTCGGTATTATTTCCTACCGCCTGTTGGCTCTGTTGGTTTTCTTGGTTTTGCTGGCCCTGTTGTTGGTTGATAGGCATAATCTGCGATAATGAAGGCAACGTATGGCTAGCGTGCACGTCCTCAACTGGTATATTATGGTTGGAATAATAAACTGCGGTGGACATCTATTCTGTATGGTTCAAATTATGGTTGATGAAGGACCCTATAGCAACTTCACTCTATCTGTTAAAACAAATTAATTAAAAAAAAAATGTAATAAGTATAGAACAATTTCTTAATAATAAATTTGAAATAATAAAATAATAGCGATATACCTTCGATTAAATATGTACTGATTCCAATGAAGTAATAAAAGAATCTCTATACTATCGCACCTATTTCATAAATTGGTCGTGTTTGGATGAAAATTTTTGCCCTTTTCAATGTGGCTGTATTACCCCCAGAATGAGCGCCAGGGATCGGAATATGGTGAGGATAATAACAAAAGAAACAATGCATCAATCGGAGACACCTATTGAAACTCAGCATCGTATGCGTCAATTGAGAACTTAAGTAAATGCACAACAATATGCATCACAAAAGTAAGGTACGGAATTCGCCCTGATGGAGCAAGCGTGCTTAAGGTTTCAGTAAGAACCCCCAATATGTTAGGCCGGTATGCAAAATTTTGCTCAGGAAATGTTTTGAATGCCTGAAAAAGAACCTACAACTATAAACGACGTCCAACAATCATCCGAGGGTGGACTAAGCTATGGTTCGTAGTAAAGTGAGGATGTCTACACGATCGTCAACGAGGGCTAAATACACTATGGGAAGGATAGAAGGTGAAATGGACTAGCCAGGGACGAAAGATATCCATCACCAACTTTATTGTGCTTCAAGGGCCATGGCTATGGTATTGAAATGCTTTTGGTTACGGAAATGTTTGGTGATGGATGATCGAGGTAATTATGTAACCTACATACGTTGCTTATACTATATATAAGGTCAAAGATATCGTAAGCGGGTCGCAGGGATCTGGGATCGGCTTTGGTGGTCTAACGGTTGAACGAAATACTACGTCATATCAGAAGCTTGATCTCGAGTCGGTAAGCGTGGGCATCACTGCCACTATCGTCAGTTCAGCTATTCATGCAATATCCGACTGCATTGTAGTGTTGTACACTTGGACTTGTTTTTGTACAAAGGTTTGCAGTATAGAAATTCGATATGAATAGGTTCGACTATGCTGGACCTGGAATAAGTATACTGCATAAACGCCTTAAGCTAGTTCGCAGATACATATATCTCCAGCGCAAGAACGGCTATAATAGGCTTGTTCGATTGGACAACAAAATACTCACGGTAATGCAAGATGCGGGAAAAAATACATTCTGTCACGAGTATTATTTTATATTCGATATTGTGTTTGGAAGCCTTTACAATCGGCAACATGGAAGAGAACGCTTCGTTCGCGATACAATAATTGTTCCATATCCTACGATCAATAAGCCAATGCCATCAATTACCATGCATTGATTCTATGATACTTATGGGTGCTATTACAAATATTACAAACTACACAAGCACTGTGGGTATTTGACGTTTCTTATTCCCTGCCGTGATACAAATCTTGCCCGTAAATATTCGCACGGCCTACGTTGATTTATACAGTGAAATTTAATGTTAAACTTAGTTAAAGGTTTGAAGCAGCATGCGATATGGCTAAAGTACACTCTTTTGGCTTTTAGTATATGTAGATTAACTAATTATGAGTAGTTCTTTCTGCATGAACTCATGCATCTGAAATTTCACGCGTCCTGTATATACATTTCTTTTTAGGAAATTTAGGTGACTCCACCAAATTGGGTTTAGCATGTCTGCGGACCAATTCTGGAAACACTCAACAAAAGTAATGACATCATAATCATAATCACTCGGTGTTGTATAGCATACTGAAATTAAAAACATGGTCAGGAGGACCGTATTCAATCTCTAACATAGATCATGCTGATGATCACTTTAGGGGGAGAATTATTTTTATGTAGACCAAGATCCCCCACTCTATACTGCCTACGCTTAATAAAATCTCAAACACAAGATAGTCAATTTATTGCTGTATGTAGAGCTTTGTTCTTCACATGACAATAGTGCCGGAGTTATTGTGCGACAGCCAAAATTGCACTATCAATATGTCATTAAAGTCAGTTTTGCATATTAGGGAACAACATTGGATTGGCCGGTAGTCGGTCAAGTCGGACTCCTGGTGACAATGAGATTAAAGGTACCCTAGTAGTATCTACACATAGACTGCTATCCTATTCTCTCTCGGGCTTAAGCAAAATCTTGTTCCCCATATCTGTTCGATCGGTTTTGTTGTATTTGCACAGTTTAAAAACTCCATTTATTATTGAGCTTCTTCAATTTCCAAGAAAACCTTAAATCGCAAGCCTTCATAACCTTATCATTTACTCTGTGTCTTCATAGAACATTGCTATGCGCTTCTGTAGTTCATCAAATCTTATGAGGCTCTTGTAATAGTAGCTCGCTAGTTTTCTGGATTCTTGTTTCTATTGTGTAAAATTATTGTTATTTATTCATGATATGCCATGCTCTAATAAGGTTAATACTCACATCTTACGTACGGTATCAATAAATTCGGACCTACTCAATTGAAGATCCTCAGCATCAATGAAATAGACGGTTTTCAGAAGATTGCATGACCAACTTCCTATACCAGTAGCTTTGAAAAAGCTATCTTGCATAGCAACATTGAGAGTATTATTTTTTTGTATTGCATCCATATATCGGTAACATGAAGCATCACAACTGCTGTTCTTCGATAAGCGTGAATAAAATCAAACGCTATTGGTATTTGGAAAGGAGTGTATATCAGAACTTGTAATAGTGAATAAAGATATATCCTGCGCCAAAGATCGTTCTCAGTGTTTTTGAATGATAGCTAATACACAACAGAACATGGTCTTGTCTAGAGTACTAAGAAAGCCCTAATCTATATCATTTTGTAGTCAAACACTTATATTTATCTTATGCTAAGGATTTCCTGCATTCTTATTTAGTTCAAGCCATTATTGTAGTTCTAGTTAAGGGTCTGAGAGACAATCCCTTTGTAATACTGTAAACCCTTGTTAGATAATTAACAATTTTTCAGAATTTTTGTCGATTATTCACAAAATGATAAATTTTAATAATAGATTTCTAATTATTCAAACCACAGATTCATGACCACTTAAACCCCTTAATGACTTTATAAAGCTGGTTTTGAATATGCTTTATATTCGATGCAACAACAATGCAAGATAGACGATATATTATTGCACCCATATATTGGTCTGTACACGAAATAAAATTGATCAATATTGATCTTGTAAAGCTCTTTAACAGATTGTCTACTAATCACTAAGAATAAGTACAAGCTCATAAAACAAAGGATATCATTAATCTCAGGTGGTTTATTTATAACCTCAAAAATAAAAATTCCTATTATACCAACCTTCAGGTTTTTAATACATCTTGGCAAGTGATTATATGAGTGGACCCGATTATCAGTTAAACTATATCAACGGCGAAGAATTCCCGTATCCTGTGACCATAAACAGAGAAAACTTCCAACAGGAATTGAATTGTGATGATTTCCAAGTTGATGAATTTTTGTATCAAAATCATAGGTTTACTTCCATAGATTCATTAATCAAAGATTTAACCCATTTGCTAGACAACCTTAACAATGAATTATTGGATCTAGTTAACAACGACTACACGGATTTCATAAAACTAGGAAAGTCTATTAATGGAGGGTTACAATTGATGCACAATATCCAGATTGATTTGCAGAATTTCAATACTAATTTATCGCTGGTTAGAAAGAATTTCCAAACTTCCAACGATTTAGTGCTCAACTCACTAGAGAAAAAACAGGAATTAATCGAATTAAAAACAAAGATAAAGCTCTGTCTTCTATTGAATGATCATGTGAATAATTTTGAAAATATACTAAATCTTGATGACTTAAATTCTGAAAATGACAAGTTGGTAACAAAATTGAAAACTTTAACCGCCCTATACTTGTCTTTAAGTAAACTTTTTGCATTGATAACGTCAAATGAGCGTGACAATTCAGTTGCCTTCGTCAATAAGAATTTAAAGGTTAAGATAATGTCATTAAAATTCGAATTTAAAGGCTACTTAGACGAAATGTTAACCAGCTTTAAGTCAAAAAGAATATCTAATCAGAATGTAATACTTGAGTTGTTGAATATTTACAAGATAACAGGACATGAACGGGATTTCATAGCCATTATGAATGCAAAACTGTCTAGTATATAGCTGTAGGTGTTTAGATACTTGTACCATAATTTACGCGCAACATCACACTATGCGAAATTTTACGTCGTAAATTCCAGCACCAACCACGAGACGACGAATTAAGTTGACTATAACGTAATATGAAAATATATATTCAGCTCAGTTATCATTAGTATTAGAGGATTATCAATCAAAATTTAAAATGGTATTGGGAGATTACTTCATTGGAAGACATAATTGGGAAAACGTCGATAAGAACACTTTACCAAACGACATCCCAGAAGTTGACGAAGTCGGAGCCACTTCTGCACCATTATTATCAGCTTCTTATTTCATTGGTAGTAAATGTAAACCTTATAATGATGATTTCATGTTGTGTAAAGACGAAAACAATGGAGGTACTTTAGAATGTTTAAAAGAAGGAAGAAGAGTCACCAGATGTGCCATTTCAGTGTTATCCGACATAAATAAATACTGTTTTGACGAGTTCAAGTTACACTACGAATGTTTGGAACAAGAAAACCATAGATTGGGCCACTGTAGAAACTCCGAATCAGTCTTAAACAAATGTATTTTCCAAAACATGAAGTTAGAAAAAAAGATTCCTGACGTTGAAAATCAAATCCACTTAAACAAAAATCCAATCTACCAAGGTACTTCCAAAGATAAGGCCAAGACAGCCGAGTTTTTGAAAGCAAAGGAAGCTAATAATTAGAACACTATTTAATGAACTATATTATTTCTAGAAGTTTTTCTACACTTTGAAAAAGGATGATAAAAATTTTTATTCAATTTCCATAAGGAAGAAATGTTGAACCTTCTTATTCATGTCTTATCTTATTAGAAAGAGTCATAAACTATCATGCATTTATCATATTAAGAATCCCTGCTGTCGACCAAGTAATTTCTAAACCTCATTTTTTGATGGCTAGATATTTTTTTGTTCTTCGAGTATTTCTTATTATTACTATTAGTAAAATTTTTTATTCACATTGTTCAACTGTTTAGAAATCTAACCCATCTCTTATTATTACATATTTACGTATCAACTAATAAACATTACTATATTCATGTTGAAAAACATAGGCTGGTTACAACATGGTCGGGCTTATATAAGCAATGGTAGAATTGATCTCACTGAAAAAATTCACCTCAAATAAAAATAAACTACATCTCTAACTAGAACACGGTAATAAATTGATCAATTGATACAATAAGACATGTTTGGATCGACTTCTAATAGCTCAGGTAGTGGGCTCTTTGGTTCAAATAACAATACTGGAGGCGGGTTATTTGGTGGAGCAAAACCTGCATCAACAGGATTTGGTTCAACGCCAGGAGGAACGAACACTGGTTTTGGTACTAATACTTCGACAAATGCCAATACTGGCGGCGGTGGGCTCTTTGGATCGAATAATAACACCAATGCTCCGGGTACTTCCACAAACACAGCCAGTGGCGGACTCTTTGGTGCAACAAATAACAACCCTGTTGGAGGTAGCAACACAGGTCAACCAGCTAGCGGTGGTTTATTTGGTTCACAAAATAACACTAACCAGCTGGCGCCAAGTGGCGGATTGTTTGGGAATAATGCAAATAATGCGGCACCTAATGCCAGTGGAGGATTATTTGGAAATTCTAATGCTAATGCTAGCAATAACACTAATAATGCATCAACGAATACAAGTGGAGGGTTATTTGGATCCTCAGGAAATACTTCGAATACTGGAGGGGGCCTTTTTGGCTCTAATAACGCTAATAATAATACTACTTCTGGTAACACAGGTGCTACTGGTGGTTTGTTTGGAAATAAACCAGCATCAAGTGGTGGATTATTTGGGTCCTCCAGTAATACCTCCAACACCGGAGGTGGTCTCTTTGGTTCCAATAATACTAGTGGGTCGACAGGGGGTGGATTATTTGGATCGAATAATAATGCTACTGCTAATACGAATACAGGAAGTGGTGGTCTATTCGGTTCCAGTTCTGGTAACACTCAACAACAACAACCTCCAAATTCTCAGCAACCAGGAGGATTATTTGCACAAAATACAACGAATAATCAACAACCATCTTTCGGCTGGAGTAGTCAAAACCAGGCCTCCAATCAAACCTCGCAACCATTATTTGATACTACTAATAAGCTTAATAATCCAAACCTTAACAATCCTAATTCGAATTTGAATTCAAATAATAATGCAGCATCAAATTATAACAATTATACTCCCGCTATAAATGATCAGTTAATAAAAATAAAAGAACAATGGGACCCTAATTCTGCAAAATGTGCTTTGAAAACTCATCTTTACAATAAATTGAATGACCAAGAAATCAATGTTCTCTTAAGCCAACAAAGACCGTCTAACGAATCTCCCGAAGATTGGGATAATGCAATGTCAAATAGACCTAGTCCCCATCATTATCCTATCAAGGTTACTTCTTTTACAGATGTAGCACAAAGGATTGAAACTCAATTGGATCATGTAGCGAAGTCAAGAATTCTTTTGAACGGAATTAATGAGAAGCAATCTTCTCTATCATCAAAACATGATTTAGATAATACGACAAGAATACTTAAAGCCAAAGCAAGGCATGTTAAATTGCTGAGAAGGCTATTAAGATTGGCTACTGTTCTAGCAATTTTAAAATTGAAGGGTTATCCATTGTTACCAGAAGAGGAGGAACTCTCTAAACAATTTGATTTGTTAAACCAAAAGTTAAATGATCCAAATGGATCTTTGGGTAAATTAAACGACGTATTTGCAAGATTAGCGATTTTAAAAGAACGTTCAGAAGATTTGTCCTATCAATTTGACTCGTCATTAAATTCGATGAATAATGTTCATGGAAATAATATAGAACCTAATAGTGAAAAGGATATTATTGATGATGGAAAGAACAATGATGAAGTTATTAATAAGTTATCCAAATTGCTTTTGAAACAACAAGTTGGTTTAAATCATTTAAACGATGTCTTAGAGAAAGACTTAGAATCTGTTAATAAATTGACTATTAAAAATTAATAAATTTTTATAATATTGCATTGTTAATTTTTTATTATTATGTACATTATATATTAATTATTACGTATACTAATCATAGAACCCTGTGAAACCAAGAGATAGTCTTTGTAGCTTTAAATTTATTCCCGTTTCTGATCCTGTAGTATTTATATCCGAGTCAAGATCCATTAAAGAGCTATATTTAATACCATCACTTTGTTTTATGAGAGGATCTAGTTTTTGTCTACCTATTATATGATTTATATTAGGTATGGCTGGCGATATCGTAATATTGTCAAACTTATGGAATTTTTGAAAATTGTGTCTCATATGACTTTTAAAATTTGTTATAATGCTATCATTCATAATATTTTTATCATTTTCAAACGTAGGAGCTGGTGAAATGAAACAAAATTGATTATTTACAGTTGATGACGATATTGAATACCGCTTGTCGTATTTCAAACCATCCCTATTTAACCTGAATTTGTACGGTATTTCAATTTCACCTTTCATGTATTGTTCATCATTTTCTATGTAAGAATATCGTGGTATAGCACAGATAGAATGTATCGTATCTGTTAATCTAGTCCGCAAGGCCAATAATTCAGCAGTTGTCTCTTTCATATTTTCGTCCGTACCATTAAACGGATCTAATTGTGACAACTGAAAAGACGGATTATATATTAAGGAAGCTTCATTACTGTATGTATTGAGACCATTTTTACCTCTACTTATTTCGAAGTATTCTAAAGATCCACCAAGCCTCTTAAAATTCTGATATAAATGAAATACTTCTTTCGTTGTAGTAGGCGACGGAGACATTCGTATTTTCACAAATATATGATACATAAAGTAGGCAGATAGTCTATTATTTATATTGTTTATATTCTTGATATTCATGACGTAGTTTGGACATATTCTTCTGGATCAAATAATATTAGATTATAAGATTTGTAGATAATGCTCGCTTCTATCAAGAAGAGCATCTCAAAATTTTAGGATTCTACTATTATACTCCAATTAAGCAATGCTGCAGAATAATGATATAATATCCTTAATTACACGTACATTATCATTGCATCTAAATAAGCCTGTTAATGAAGGGTTTACAGATACTCTTGTCAAATTTTACTTAAGAAATAATTCTGTATCTGCATTTCTTATATATACAAAAGCATTGGGGTTTCCGAGTGAAAATGATGAAAGCGTTGGAAAGGAGATTTACAAATTGATTAATGACAACATTAGTACCATTGAATGCTTGATGAAAGACAAGGAAGAAAAAAGTCATACGAAGATACATAGAAGACCTAGTAATAGCTTGGAAAAGAAGAAAAACGACAAGAACAGTAAAAAATCAAAACTTGCATTATCTTTTGACGACGACGAAGAGCTAGAGGAAGAATTAAATAATTTAGACCCAACTTCAGAGGTTAACTTAGGAAAAACTAATTTCAAGAGGATACGATCTAAGAATCCACCTCTGTATAATGATATTAACCATGACTTTTCGATTAATGACTCCTTAGATTCGAATCAAGAATATGAAGCTAAGGCAATAGAAGAGCCGAAATTCAAATTTAAGAAGATTAAAAAAGAGGATGCATTGAGAATAAAGGAAGATGAAACTCATTTACCACTAATGCCAGTGCCCAAGAGTGAAGAATCAAATCTAAAACCTGGTATTTCAATCAAAACCAAACATAAGAATGCAATGCTTTCACTTTCAGAGTTAGCAGAATTGGAAAAGCAACAGAAAACTGAGTTACAAAAAGAAATGAGGTCTCTTGATGCATTTTCTGACAATGATAATGATTCAGAAAATGATAATGATTTAGAAAATGACAGAGAATGGTATACTATAGATGAGATCGATCATAATGACCTTCATGATGATTTCGAGGACGAAATTTTTACTGAAACAACAAAACAAATCTCGAATCGTAAGAGACCTAAAGAGTTTAAGATACCTGAAGGCACGGGTGGAGGCTTTGATGATATAACTGGTGAGTATTATGACTATGATCATAACCAAGATCAGACGCATGATCTTTCACGTATACCAATTACATCTCACTATTTCATTCCGCCATTTTTGGAGGATTCAAAAGAATATTTGTCCTTACAAATTGGACATGACAGGAATGACTCTAAGTTTAGAGGGATTGGGCCAACTATTTCTCCAATCAAAAACCCAGATTCTGAATTAGCCACAATGGCTAAACAAGGAAGTATGGTTGTTAAGGACAGAAAATCTAAGAATGAAAGGAGTAAGCAAGCTAAGGAAAGGTCCACTCTTAGTGGTACGGCATTAGGTAATGTATTGGGCGTTGAAACAGATGATAAGGCAAATGGTAACAATGAAAAATTGCATGAAAACAAATTTTCAAATGAGGGCGAGGTAAAGACTCAAGATGAAAACGTAACAATCCAAGAACAGAGACGTTCTTTACCTGCATTTGCTGTCAAAAAGGATTTATTAAGAACCATTGCAGAAAACCAGGTAACAATCGTAATAGGAGAGACAGGTTCTGGTAAAACTACACAATTAACCCAATACTTGTACGAAGAAGGACTTGGCTCAAATTTAGAACAACTGGGCAAAAAACGAATGATAGGTTGTACTCAACCTCGTCGTGTGGCTGCTATGTCTGTTGCGAAAAGAGTTAGTGAAGAAATGAATTGCAAATTGGGAGATGAGGTAGGATTTGCGATTAGATTTGAAGATAAAACCAGCCCCCGCAAGACAGTCATAAAATATATGACAGATGGTGTTTTATTAAGAGAAATATTAGTAGATCCAAATTTGGATAAGTACTCGTGTATTATTATGGATGAAGCACACGAAAGATCGTTGAATACCGACGTACTATTGGGATTATTTAAAATGCTCTTGACAAGAAGGAAGGACTTGAAGTTAATTGTTACTAGTGCAACTATGAATGCTGACAGATTCACGAGATATTTTGGAAATGCACCTCAATTTACCATCCCTGGGAGGACATTCCCAGTTGACGTATTATTTAGTAAAAGTGGATGTACCGATTACGTTGAAACAGCAGTTAAACAGGTTTTAACCATTCATTTGCAAAATAGTGCAAAATCTAACAATAATGATGGAGATATTTTGGTTTTTATGACTGGTCAAGAGGATATAGAGGTTACCTGTGAATTACTACAGGAAAAACTTGATTTATTAGATAACCCTCCCCCTTTAGATATTTTTCCCATATTCTCTACAATGCCTGCGGATTTGCAAAAGAAAATATTCAACAAAACGAACTTGGAAAGAAGAAAGGTTGTTGTGGCTACGAATATTGCGGAAACATCATTAACTGTTGATGGTGTGAAATACGTCATTGATACAGGATTGGTAAAGTTGAAAGTGTATAATCCGAAATTGGGAATGGACATGTTGCAAGTGATACCGATATCAATGGCAAATGCTCAACAACGTAGTGGTAGAGCTGGTAGAACTGGCCCAGGTGTTGCATATCGATTATATACTGAAAGATCTGCTGAAGAACAGATGTATTTGCAACCAATTCCCGAAATACAAAGGACTAATTTGAGTAATGTGATGTTGCAGTTAAAATCTTTAAAGATTGAGGATGTTCCAAACTTTCCATTTTTAGACCCACCTCCAAAAGACTTGCTTAGTTGTTCACTATATGATTTGTGGGGCATTGGGGCTATTGATAATTGCGGTGAATTAACACAATTAGGCCAGTCAATGTCAAGGTTTCCAATGGAACCTACATTGTCCAAATTAATATTATTATCATGCAATTCAGAATTTCATTGTTCAGAAGAAATTATAACTATCGTAGCTATGTTATCGGTACCATCAGTTTTCTATAGACCGAAAGAAAGAGCGAGCGAAGCAGATGCTATTCGTGAAAAGTTTTCAATATCAGAGTCAGATCATCTAACGTTGCTTAATGTTTACAACCAATGGAAATCACATTCAGAGAAGCCACAGATGAACATGAAACGATTAACGAACTGGTGTGCTAGGAATTTTTTCCATAGTAAATCATTATTAAGAGCTAGAGATATTAAGAACCAATTATTGCTTATCATGGAAAAAAATAGATTGAAGCTCTTAAAATCACGGTCAGACGAAGACATTAGGAAATGTCTTTGTGCTGCATTTTACCAGCAACTGGCTAAGATAGTGAAGATTAATATTGGTAATACTAGCAATTCAGAATATATTCATTTGCGACATAATTATATGAAAATGTTTTTGCATCCCACATCTGCGTTAAATGGTGGTACTAGTATGGCACCAACATACGTAGTTTATCACGAATTGATTTTGACCAATAGGGAATATATGAGTTGTGTCACTAGTGTCGATCCTTTATGGCTATTAGAATTTGGATACATATTTTTTGAGGTATCAGCTAAAGTTCAGGCTCGATTATGCGGCCATATTGATTTTAATTTAATGGATCCAACTCAATTAGAAAGATCTTTAGAAGAAGATAGAATTAAGTACCAAGCTAAATTGCAAGAAAAGAAACTCAAAAGGAGGAAGAATAATAATTCCAATCTGATTATTAAAAGCAAGTTCAATAAAAGACGAGCGTTTTAATTTATGTACATATATTTAGGCTGTATAATACAAGATTCTATACACATTATTTAAGTAAAATATTATCAAGTAATCGGATATTTTCATCGCTATTTTCTTTAGGAACTCTAATTGCAGTAGAAACAATTGCACCAACTCCAGGTTCAACGTATTCTAAATCTTCTAAAGATTCTGGATGACTTACCGCAAGATATTCCATTTCAAATTCGAAGTCTGCCGTATTGAATGTTGACATGATACGTTCTATTATCCCCGATGATTTGACATGATTACTTTGTGAATGCTTATTGTAATATTCTTCACCAGTATGTAATGCCTCGTATATGACTGCAGCTCTTTTCTTTGCCTGGTCAGATAAATATGTATTTCTAGAGGACAACGCCAAACCATACGGCTCTCTTGAAGTCGGCATAACTCTCACATTCGTATTAATCAATAAGTCCTTCACCAAGTTTTTAATTACGACGTATTGCTGAGCGTCCTTTTGACCAAAATAGATCTGATCTGGAGTTACAACGTTCAACAACTTAGTCACTATAGTCGCCACACCACGAAAGAATTGTGGTCTCTGAGCTCCCTCCAATTGCTCTGAACAGCCCAAAACAGAGACGAAAGCACCTTTTTGCTTATTAACGTCCAAAGTTATTCCTGATGGATACATTTCTGAGATTTTAGGGACAAATATAGCATCAACCTTTTTACCCTTGAAATTTGATAAAGTTTCCATGTCAGTATCAAGTGTTCTAGGATACGCTTCAAGATCTTCATGTGGAGCAAACTGCGAAGGGTTAACGAATATCGAAACTACTGTACGATCATTTTCCTTGAGCGATTGGGATACCAACGAACAGTGCCCAGCATGCAAAGCTCCCATAGTTGGGACAAGGCCCACTGATTCTCTATTCAAAAGACACAGAAGTCTCCACTGTCTTACTTGTTGTACAGTACGTAACACTCGAATCGGGCTAGATGGTGGTAGAGTCATTATTATGCTGATATAGAGTAAATTCTAATATTGAAAAAAAAAAAAAATTTAACGATCAGCTCCACACTGAAAAAAAAATCTCGTTCAGTATTAACAAGGATAATCACAATTTAATAAGTGTTGATACTTATCGTTGATAGTCTCCGATGTTGCAGTTGAAGATATATGTTAGAAGTATAGGTGTGGATAATTCTTGTATTAATAACATCCGGAACTTTGTCCATAATTAACCTCGGCTAATAAATTGCGGAGATCTTACTATAAAAGTATCGGTGCAACCGATATGAAATATCATGAAGTGTAAAAGTAGAACTATAATGTCGGACTTATATACGCTTGAAAAGAAAACAACAGATGCAGCTTTTCCAAGGGGGCCTGGTAGTACGATATTATCAACCGATAAGTTGAAAGTTGTATACAACAAGTACCTAACCACCAAAGGAAATATCTCTAAAGACAAGATCAAGGTCAATTTAATATTTGCCCATGGTACTGGAATGAACAAGTCGCTTTGGAATTATCATATTAAGAAATTGTTTGAACATTCCCAGTCAGCATCAACGTGGGTTTTGAATTCAGTTCTATCAATTGACGCAATCGGACACGGTGATTCATCATTACTCAATGAAGGTAAAATCGGGTGGGTTTATAAGTGGGAAGACGGAGGTAAAGACATTATACAAGTAGTTAAACACGAACAACAAAGCACGAATGAATTTGTTAACAATGCTAACACTAAGAATATTTTGGTTGGACATTCGTTGGGTGGATATATGGCGGTTATAGCAGGGTTTTACGAACCAAGCTTGTTTGATACCGTTATCCCAATCGAAGGGGTCTTGTATATGGATCCAAAAACAGATGGACGCTTTTTGGGAATTTTCGCTAAATTATCTTCGATACTAATTGACAAATTTGATAGTGAAGAAGAGTATAATGAATATTTCACAAAATTTTCTATTTATAAGTCATTTCAGCCTGAAGTCTTGAAGGATTTCATGGAAGATGAAAAAGCAACATTCATTGATCCAGAAACCAAGGAAACTAAATTTATGACCAAATCATCTACACCAAATCAAATGACTACCTATTATTCTGCTAGGATATCACTTCCTCTCATTATGGCAATATTTCCACAAATAAAGGTTCCTATTGTTCATGTTGTTGCCAAAAACGCTACGTGGAATCCTCCAGAGAGCATTCCATTTGTTCGTAATGCTGTACCCAAAGAATATTTGTTGGATGCAATTGACGTTCCTGACGCCGAACACTTAGTTAACGGAGACAAGCCGGATGTTATTGTTAAAATTATCGAGGATACGATTAAGAAAAGGGTTGCCACTGCCATTGAGAATAGACCTAATGATCCAGAGGTTAAATATGGCGGTAATAAGAGTAAAATCTTGAAGAGTCAATGGGATTTGAAAATGTCTATTATTGCTGAACAACAGAAAGCCGCGAAAGAAGCCGGAAGGAAGCAAAAGGCTTCGAAATTGTAACTCATTTCTATATAGTAGAAACTTTAAATATATGAATATATTAGAAACACTGCAAGCATTAATTTTATTAGCCGAGGTCGCGAGGGACATACTTCCGAATGTAAATTTCGTATGGGACAAACTTCCGAAATGTAAAATCTTGGGGTAAAAAAAATGCATATTTAGTACTGGGTCTCCTCGAGAATGAATATACTCAGTACTAGAATCAATACATGATGTATCCAAATAGGCCAGATTTATATTCTTTTGAAGTCAAAGCAGCTGATGCGGTTTTTCCAAGACAAAAAGGTGCTGTTTTGTTAGAAAGAGCACTGGACAGTATCGCTGATAACACATTGAAGGTATGTTATAGAAGATACCAAGGAAGGTCCAATGAGTCATCACTGACAAAGACTAAGCTAAACCTTGTGCTCTTCCACGGAACTGGTATGAATAAAGGATTATGGCACTATCACATAAATAAATTATTTGAATTTTTCAATTCAGGAAAGGATAATGGCACTAACCTACACTTGAATGTAGTTTGTGCTTTTGACGCTGTGAATCACGGTGAATCGGCTGAATTAAATAAAAAGAAGTTGGGATACCTTTACGATTGGCGTGATAGCTCGAAGGATGTTGTAAAGGTTTTAACAGAAGACGAAGCGGACACATTCGTTGAAGCCGAGAACAAAATGTCGATAATAATCGGGCACTCTATGGGTGGGTTCATTTCGTTATATGGTACCTACTTAGCACCTGCTTTGTTTGATTCATGCATATTGGTGAACCCGGTTTCTCATGTCAGCCCCAGTGAATACGCTGAAAGGGATATGGAGTTTAAAGTTTGGTATGAACGTAACTACATGAAAGACGACTTTAACATACAAGATGCAAACAATTGGTATAACGAAATCGAAACATTTCTCAAGACGAAATCGTTTTTTAAAAAATTTCACCCGACTGTTTTAGCAAATTTGCTCGAGGACGAATTGCCTAAAGAAGTAAAACAGTCACCCAAAGCAGCTTACAATCAAATAAAGTTGAACACTACAGTAGAAGCACAACTTCATACATACTGGGGAATGAATAAATCGATTCCCTGTGGTATGCCAACCTTCCGAGAAATTAAAGTCCCCGTATTCCATGTTGTAAGCGACTTTGATATTTCCAGTGATGAAAACAGAAGATTTATAAGAAATAATCTTCTGCAAGTCGTTCAATGTATAAATTTTCCAAACTCTAAGCATTTACTAAATGGAGAGGACCCAGACCCACTCATAAAATTATTCACTCTGATCATACAAGGAAGAGAAGTTATTCATTCGAGAAAGACGGTCATAGATGAAGAATATCTAGTTAAGAAATATGGCAAGAACTATAGAAAAGTCCTTTCGGATGCTAGATTAGAATCTCTTATAAAAAACGGTGCAACGGTACCTAAGTTATAATTAATAGATATTATTCAGAATTCCAATTTATTTTATTCGTCAATAGGCTTTCATATATTAATGCGTAGCTAGCATAGAAGAATTTTAAACGAGTAGTTTTTGCAGTTAAATGCAAGAATAATCAACATCATGTGACGAATTAATTTTTTTTAATTTCTGTTCTCATCTTTAAATTTTTTTTTTACATCAACTTACCTACTCAACGGTTTATCAGAACAGTAATCTGTGATAATTAATAGAAAGCATAGAATATAAGATGGCTAGCAGAGAACTTGTGTTATCGTTAATCTCCAATTATTTACAAAGCGATGTGGAATTGGCTAAAGTTTCCAAGGCATTGGGCAAAGAGGTTTCGAAGCAGTCTATTGATTTACCAAGCACCGAACTTAAATTAGAAGACTTAATAGTTCAGTCCGGAGAAACTAAGGAGGAAAGTAGCACTGAATCGTCTTCATCAGATAGTGACTCCAGCTCCTCATCTTCAGATAGTGACTCCAGTTCCTCATCTTCAGATAGTGACTCAGACTCATCAGACGAAGACGAGCCTTCTAGTGCAACTAACTCCGAGAGTGCTCCAAAAGAGTCTGAAAAATCAGACAGCGATAATTCCGATAGTGACAACTCGGACAGCGACAACTCGGACAGCGACAACTCGGACAGCGACAACTCGGACAGTGATAGCTCGGACAGTGATAGCTCGGACAGTGATAGCTCAGATAGTGATAGCTCAGATAGTGATAGCTCAGACTCAGACTCAAATGCAAAATCTAAATCAGACTCAGACAGTTCAGACTCAAACAGTTCAGACTCAAATAGTTCAGACTCAAGCAGTTCAGACTCAAGCAGTTCAGACTCAGACAGTTCAGACTCGGACAGTTCAGACTCGGAGTCGGACTCAGAATCAGAATCAAAATCAAAATCAAAATCAAAATCAAAATCAAAATCAAAATCAGACAGTTCAGACAGTTCAGACAGCTCCGACAGCTCCGACTCCGACTCAGATTCAGAATCAGATCTTAAATCATCTAAGAAGAGATCATCTGATGAGAAAGGACATTCGAATAAGAAGCAAAAGTTCGAAACATCGTCTTCTCAGACCGAATCCTTCTCTCCATCCCCAGTTTCTGATGAAATCACAAGTGCTTCCCAGGAACCTGAATTGAAACCGGGCCAAAGAAATCATTTCTCCAGAATTGACCGTAGTAAGATTTCGTTCGAAGACAGAACCTTAGCCGATAATACTTATAAAGGTGCAGCAGGAAGTTGGGGTGAAATTGCCAATGAAAAGTTATTACAAGTCAGGGGTAAGGACTTCACCAAAAATAAAAATAAGATGAAAAAAGGTTCATACAGAGGTGGCTCAATAACTTTTGCGTCTGGTTCCTACAAATTCACCGATTGAGCCACAAACTCGAGAAATTCATGTATTATAGTTCGTCCAACATTACCCATCCTTTAGGGTGTTGCCATTACTAATTGCTCTATTTAGATAGTTTTAATATATTTGCATTCATTAGCCATGTTGGAAGTTTGTGCGTGTGCACGCACTATTTTGTAGATATGGATTTAAAAATTAGATCAAGCTTATTAGCATTACTAAGTATATACGTATTTAAGAGATTTTCAAATTTTCTTCTAATCTATATTATCTCTTCACGCAAATATAGTATGTCACGTCGCCCGGGTGGAATTAGCTATTCAGAGTTAGATCAGGGTAATTTTTCTGATGATTCGTTTGATGATGAGGTTGACCAAGCGCAACAAAGAAATACCAAAAATGATGACGATGACTACAGTTATGGGTCCAATAGACGGAAAGGAACCAAGAAAAGTAATGGAAATGCCAGTCGCAAGAGAAAGGCTGAGGATGCAGTAGAAGTAATAAGGGCCCAGGCGCCCAGTGCTGACTATTCGGACGAAGAGTTAGTGGATCTTACACCTGATATCCCTGCGGACTATGTCCCAGATGCTGTGTCGAAGGCGTTTGGTAAGTCGGATTTTTCATATTTGAAGTTGAAACCTGATCATTTTTCAAGACCTATATGGATATCTCCTGTCGATGCCAGAATTATATTAGAATCATTTTCACCACTAGCAGAGCAAGCACAAGACTTTTTGATTACTATTGCAGAACCAATCTCAAGACCCTCGCATATCCACGAGTACAGAATAACTGCATATTCGTTATATGCTGCAGTATCTGTTGGACTAGAAACAGACGACATTATTCTGGTATTGAACAGATTATCAAAGGTACCGGTTGCCGAATCTATCATTGCTTTTATTAGGGGCGCTACTATATCGTATGGTAAGGTCAAGTTAGTTTTGAAACATAATCGTTATTATGTTGAGAGTACGCAAGCTGATATTTTACAAATGCTTTTGAAAGACCCTGTAATTGGTCAATTACGTATTCAATCCACAGAAAATACAATCACCAGTAATGGCCTTGTGCAATCGTCGGCACCAACTCAAGGGGACCTATCTATACCCGGGACGAAGAAACCAGGTTCTATCGAAGAGAAGAAGGATAATGAAGTAGAAGATATATTTGCATCAGTAGTAGGAAATAAGGCTAATGGAGAGGAAGACGATTATGATGACTTAGAGACTGTTCATTCATTTGAAGTTGCAAATGAGTCAGTGGAAATTGTTAAGAGAAGGTGTCAAGAAATTGAATACCCAGTTTTGGAAGAATATGATTTCCGTAATGACGATCGTAATCCTGATTTGGATATTGACTTAAAGCCATCTACTCAAATTAGACCATACCAGGAAAAATCATTATCAAAAATGTTTGGGAATGGACGTGCAAGATCCGGGATTATCGTCTTACCATGTGGTGCTGGAAAAACCTTAGTTGGAATCACGGCTGCTTGTACTATTAGAAAGTCTGTGATTGTATTATGTACGTCATCTGTTTCCGTAATGCAATGGAGACAGCAGTTCTTGCAATGGTGTACAATACAACCGGAAAATGTTGCGGTATTTACGTCTGAAAATAAAGAAATGTTTACTAGTGATGCAGGATTGGTTGTGTCTACTTACTCTATGGTTGCCAATACTCGTAATAGATCACACGATTCCCAGAAGGTTATGGACTTTTTGACTTCGAGGGAGTGGGGGTTTATTATATTGGATGAAGTCCATGTCGTACCAGCCGCAATGTTTAGACGTGTCGTCACTACAATTGCTGCTCATGCAAAGTTAGGTCTTACAGCTACATTAGTTCGTGAAGATGATAAGATTGATGATTTAAATTTCTTGATTGGGCCTAAATTATATGAAGCAAACTGGATGGATTTGGCCCAAAAAGGTCACATTGCAAATGTTCAATGTGCGGAGGTTTGGTGTCCTATGACATCTGAATTTTACCAGGAGTACCTAAGGGAATCTGCAAGAAAGAGAATGCTTTTATATATTATGAATCCAACGAAATTTCAGGCATGTCAATTTTTAATTCATTATCATGAGAAACGAGGTGATAAAATTATTGTTTTTAGTGATAATGTTTACGCATTGCAAGGATATGCCCTAAAATTAGGGAAGCCATTTATCTATGGTTCAACATCGCAACAGGAACGTATGAAAATTTTACAAAACTTTCAACACAATGACCAAGTTAATACAATATTTTTATCCAAGGTTGGTGATACGTCTATCGATTTACCTGAGGCTACATGCTTAATACAAATCTCATCGCATTATGGATCTAGAAGACAAGAGGCTCAAAGATTGGGACGTATTTTGCGTGCTAAAAGACGTAATGATGAAGGTTTCAATGCATTCTTCTATTCCTTAGTGTCGAAAGATACACAAGAAATGTATTATTCTACAAAAAGACAAGCATTTTTAGTTGATCAAGGGTATGCATTTAAAGTCATTACACATTTGAGCGGAATGGAACAGTTGCCGGACCTAGCATATTCATCGGCAAGAGAAAGAAGAGAGCTTCTTCAGGAAGTTTTATTAAAGAATGAGGATGCTGCCGGTTTAGAGATTGGTGATGATGCTGATACAAATTTCATACCAAGAGAGCAACGTGAGAAGAGGGCAAAATTAGAGAGCAACGGCAGTTCTGCAACTAGAACAGCAGGCTCTTTAGCAGGCTTAGCAGGAGGTGAAGATATGGCATATATTGAGTATAATAAGAACAAGAATAAGGAGATCAAGGAGCATCACCCATTGATTCAAAAAATATACTATAAAAATCAAAAAAAGTAATACTTACTTATTCTATGTCAACATTTCTTAATGAATAAATTTTGTATACGAGCAATAAATTTGTATATATAAAATTAATGTAGATAGATGTAGTAGATTAATATAAATAGTGGAGGCGATATGCTTTAGTCCCTATGATAGAGTGCATGTTATGTGGTTGGTAATGTTTAGTGGATGTCAAAATTATAATTTTTAGCACTCAAGACAACAATGTGGTTCGGTAATGCAAATATAATCAATGGTACAATATAATACGAAATCATCCACCTACAAAATCACCAAATTCATCTTCGTCATTATCGTCACTGTCTCTTGTAGTTTTGTTCTCAGAGCCATGGTCGGTTCCGGAACCCTCAGAGTTATTTTCGGTATTTATGGATAAATGCTTCTGTTTGCCTTCAATTTCTGATAATCGTAATTCGTAGTTATACTGATCGACGAAGTTCTTGAACCTTCGCCTATATATGCTAAGACTTTCGGAAAATGATATTGCCGCAAAATTCTCACTGATTTTCAAGCCTAATGCAACTTGTAACAAGTACCCGTCTTCAATTTGCTCTTCTTCTTGAATGAAAGGATGATAGCCAGAACCTGGCAATTGGACAATGATTTTATAGAATTTCGCCGATTGCGGTGTCATTTGAATCGTCTCCTGTTTGTTGTTGGCTATAGAATATTCTGCGAGATCCAATTCAGACTTATCCTGTTCTTTCGGCAACGGATTATACCAAAGCTCCGCCCATATTTTTTCGTCCTCCATGCGGGACTCATTCGGAGGAGCTACCAGTGAGTCGTTAAAATTAAATAACTCCAACTTGAGTCGTAATCCTTTATACGGCTTGATAGGAGCAACTTCCCTATCCTTCAGGAAAAATGCGGAGGGCTTATCTCCTACTGTAAAGGACGAGAAACACTCCGATTCCACTCCATTAGACCCACTAAAGAATACTCCCTTATCTTCCTGAATCAACTCCTCCTCGGTTAGTCGTAAGCTACCTGTCCATATTATATTTGAGTCATTTATATCCCATTTGGATAAGGAGAGCTCACCTGGAGGGATTTTAAATACAGACACATCTTCAGTCTCAAATAGTTTAGTCGAAATTATATCATTCATAATACTAATAGATATTGTTTATGGCACCAGATCAACGTATAATGTCCCTTAATGAATGCTTTATTCAACACAATTGAACCATTTCCCTGAGAGATCATTATAGCCAGTCTCAATATGGGATTATGGTGCTTTATGTTAATGGGTCGTGTAAATTTCAAAACACCCGACCTGAAAAACTTCTTCATTAGTTCACTAGCTAATGAAGAAGCTCTCAACACTGAACTACTATAGTTGACAAACAGCAAGCAAGATGTTCAGCAATATAGTAAACAAGAGATTTGCTGGCGTTGTAAATAGAGGGTTGGTTAGCAGACCGGCATTCGGCGTTACATCAGTTCGTTTCAACTCAAGCTTTGATGAGCTCGCAAAGGCCATGAAACAACAAAACAACAAGAAGGAAGACAATAACAAAGATAGGAACTCAAATGCTATCAGCGACATAGATAACTTGTTGTCCAGCACTTTTGATTTTCAAAGCAATTCTCATTACTCCAATAAGTCGAATGACTACATACTCGACAACTCGTTAAAGCATCCTCGTGATGTGGCCAAGTCCATTCGGTTACAAGGCCCTATTGCAGGAAGAAGTGTTGACGTGCAATACGGTAACTTCAATCGTGCACTCGGGGGAATTTTCACCGTTGTTAAGAGTAACAAGATTAGATATCTCCAGAAAGTGCAATCAAGATTTATTCCACCTGCGAAGTACAGAAAACAAAAGAAGAGAGAATGGTGGAGACGTAAGTTCTCTCAAGGCTTCAAGGAGTTGATGTCTCAAGTCAGAGATGCGAAGAGAAGAGGGTATTAAATGGTTGGATGTTTTCAATCATTCCATTCTGTCATACCATAATTATCAGTATATTGTATTATTCAAACCCTGGCTCATATCAATATCGGGGTTCGGATACTACACACACATATCGCTATACTTATTCTTGTATATATAAATGTATAAATTAATCATCAATAGTAAGCTTATCTATTTTTCATAGATCCAGTCGTGTAGACCTCGATTATATTATCAAGATAGAACTTTTTTAACCTTTTTGACACATTATAGCTAGACATCCAATAGAAAAGCTTCATCTTATAAGGATTGAAGTATTTTCGTTGGAATTACAGGGATTTGTGGGTCCAACTCAATAGATAAAAAAAGATTTACAATTCCAAAGGTAAAATTCATTGTCGCTTATCATCATTACAACGTGCCCTGTGATATTAGTGAAGAATTATTTTCACCTAGCTATTATATTCCTATTGATATAAAATTATACAAATATGTCTTTTTCGGAGGATAAAAGAAGACAGGGATCCATAGAAGCATCCAATGGTGGTATCCCAGCAATAACGGGCCAACTTGATTATTCTAATGCTATTCATGTTTTCCCAGATGCATTACAACCATTCAGATCTACGATATTAGCATATGGGGCATCATTCATATCTACGACTGTTGGATTTCCTATGGATACGGTAAAGACTCGGATGCAAACACACAAACATTTTTTGAGCTATCTTGATTGCGTAAAGAAGACATACCATCATGAAGGTGCGAGAGGTTTTTTTAGAGGTATATGGGCCCCATTGATATCTACTTCAATATCAAAATCGCTCAGTGTTATGATTTTCACCGAAGTCAAACCATATTGTTATAATATGATCTACGGCAAATATGACGATAAACATACTGTGCACCCGCTACTACGTAATGTTCCAGTTTGTATGATGTCTGGTACTTTAGCTGGTGCTGGTATATCAGTATTTGCATGTCCTTTCGAATTCACCAAGATTTATGCCCAGATATTAAAATTAATTCAAAAGAAGTCCATGAAGGACTTACCGAAACATTTACAAACTAACCATCAAGAGATTACAAATATATCAACTTCACAAACAATACGTCAAATATTAAAACATGAAGGCCTAAAGGGTCTTTATTCTGGTTATAAGTATCACTTAATCCGAGATTCGCTCTCTTCCGGTATTTATTATTCAATATATGAGTCGATGAAATGGACTATGAACGAGCTTCTCAAAACCGATCCGAATGAAACATCTCATATATCGATTCTTTTAGCTGGAGGGTTCTCTGGTATTTTTAGTTGGATTTTAATCTTTCCAATTGACACTACAAAATCACTTATTCAAAGGGACCTGGTAGCGAATATTTTGAGGAAAGAGCAAGGCTTGGAGCCTTTGCTAATAAAGGAAAGAAAACTACAGGGCTTTCATAGAAAGCTTTATAGAGGTTTAGGTATTTCAGTGACAAGATCTTTCATAGTTAACATGGTTTTTTTCAGTGTCTATGAGTTTGTCATGGCCCATGTTGCATAGATAAAAAATTTTCAATGTTTATATCTTTTCTATTATACACGTTTATTGGTATATATTATTATACATATATTAGATACATTATTAATACAAGACAAAAAAGTCAGTGTCTTTTTGTCGGTCTTCCTCTTTTAACTTCTTCCTCTGCCTCTGTATTTTCATTTTCATGAGCAGCATCATCATTTAATTTTTCGCTGTGACGTCTAAGTCTACGACTCCTTCTTGGTAAATTGGAGTCTTCTTCCAAGTCAGAAGAGATCTGATAAATACTTCTCTTCAAAGGTGACTTCGAACGAGTCCTCAATGCTGGATGATCAAGCAGTGATTCTACCCATTTGGAACCTGATGATTTTCTCGATGAAGGCAGTGATTGTTTAGAATCTACCTCAACAGGTGAACTATTATCCAACGCGTTCGTATTGGATAGGTGTCTTCGCTTATTGATGCGAAGTTTGGGTAATTCTTTATTGGATCTCGATATCTTCTTCGGCGAGGAAAATAAATCTGAGTTCTGTACTTGATCATATTTTTCAGGGCCATATTTATGACCACTTCTTAAGGACCTTACAGGCTCAATATGAGCTTCAGACATATCTAAGCCTAACACCTTTCTTGGGCGTTTAGATTTTGCATTGGCGCTTCTTTGCTTTGTTGATTTCAGATGTTTAGCCGAATTATTAATTTCTAATGGGGTCAATGGAAGATTATCTTCCGAATTAGAAGTGACATTTCTCCTGTTGTTTTTTACATGACCTTCATTAATGTTTTGCTCAAGATTTTCGTCTTCAAAAGTCTTTTCTTCAACCTTAGTTGTAGCATTAATATTAGGTTGATTTTCATTTATGGCATTATACTCCGGTTTATCTCTGTCGTCAACCATATGATCATCAGAACTGTTTTCCTCTTTCTCATGATCAAATATGTTATTTAATTTATCCTTCTCGATCTCGTTGGATTTTAAACCTACTGACCTCTTCAAATGACTCATCAACTCATAATACTTCTTGTTATTGCTATTCACAGAGTCATCGGCATTTATATCAGCATCTTCCTTAAATGGCTTCAGTGCACTTTTATTCAGTGATGAATTAGAATTATTGCCATCAAGCGGCCTCAATTTTGGAGCTTCAATATGGGATGGAATTATTGATGATTTGCGGTTTTTTGAAAGCCATTGAAGCGGTTTATAAATCAACTTTCTTAGTTTAGATCTGACAAAACTTTCAGATTCACGACTTCGCTTTCTAGATTCATCGCTCAACCCTTTATCAGAAATTTCTTCGGCATTTATTGATTCACGATGAATTCCGGACAGTTTAGGTGTTTGGCTTCTTGAAGGTGGTTCCAAAATATCTGTTGGTTCAATTATTTCATACTGTTGTTCAAATGCCGAATTGATTAGTTCGACACGACCAATTTCGGTATCGTTTGGCTCAATGATTGCTGAAGGTTCAAGGACTTCCATGTCGTCAATTGCCGATGTGCCCGTGATTATTTCTAGTTGTTGACTATAATCAGGTAGTTGAGCTTCTTCTTGTTCGTCAATTGGTTC